AGGTGGCAAAACACTTAAGTTAGGTTTTGTTGATAGCCAAAAATAATACTTACAAAGAGTTTTGCAACGAGGTTGAAAAGCAGAGACATAGTTGGAAACTCTGACGTTTGTTAGATTGTAGGGGTATGTATAATATAAGTTGATGCATTTGCTTGTGTTGAGATCACAAGACTATGAAATACACTGTCCAGCTTCTTTAATTAAATTGTGACATATGTACTTAAAAATTCAAAATAAAATATAATTATAAATATATTTACATAATGAAACTGATTATATTACATCTAAAAAAACACAATAAGAATCAAATCTATATCCATCAAAAAATAATTAACAAAAGCATAATAAATTATAAAAATGGATTCATATATGTAAATATTATTGATTCTTAATAAAATAGTATGAATTAGTTCCAGAAAAAGCCAAGGATTTTTATTATATGCTTAACAGGTGAAGTATTTTATTTATTATTTCGATTTAGTATTTTAATAATATACTTCTGCTAAAAATCCACAATTAATCATATATATTTATTATAGTAAAAATTATACTTTCTAATGTTCCTTGTAAATCTATGAAAAACGAATAAATTTGTGGCCAAAGAAAACAAATCTATTAAAAACTAATTAAGTCTGTCAAAATTAAATGAATATATTGTCAAAGAAAAAACAGATCTATAAATAGGTAAACAAGTCTTTCAAAAGGAAGTAAATTTATACTCACTTTTAAATGTAGATGTAAATATTTTAAAATGATTTAAAAAAAAAAATTGATGGCTTCACTATACAATTGTAAGTATGTATTTTTCTTATTTACGCTTGCCAAACTCAAGTAAGTGCGAATCTTTAATTAAATTAATAACAAGTGTAGTATATGGAATGTGTGGAGCACAGGTAGTTCAAAAACTTGTATTTAACATATATAGAAAAAGGTATATGAACGATATACAACAAATTTAAGAAAATTACTCAAATATTTTCTTTATCAAATAGTCATAAATTTTTAACGGAAGATGCAAAACCTAAAAAACATCAAATATAGTCTGGCTGAAAAAAAAATATATATAGGAAAAAAATAAGTAAAATATAAGCAAAAAAAAGGGAAAAACTTAGAAAAAAAATCAAACTGAAGATAGTAAAAAAAAAAAAAAAAAAAGGATGATTCATATCAGTTAAACTAAATATTACAACATCACGAGATGCGATAACAATATTACAACTTCATTCAGAATCTTATAATATTCATCATCATCCTTCAGTTGTTTAGAACTTGAAGCACCATCATCATCCCTCTTCGTCTTTACCCGCTCTTTCTCATTTCCTTCATGATTTTTCTTTTTTAAAGAGGTATCACGTTTTAAAAATAAAACACTGGGTTCGGTATCATGTTTTCACAAACATTACATAATTCCCAAATGTTGAATCCAAATATCCTCGTGTAGACCATGTCCCCAAATAACAGGGTACAAACTTACCTCTTTACTCAATCTATCGTGGACTTACCTTTGAGTTTCAAACGTATAGTTAATGAAACAAATTAAGAAAAACAATATTACTGAAGACTTGAAAGAAAAGCATCGTAATGTCGAAAATGTTAAATATCGCACCGTAAACACAAAAACACAATCACAGTCTAATAAAATAGTAAAAGGATGTCATATCAGCAGATTATTTAACTAATAGAGAGAAGGAGACACAAACAAAGTTCTTCCGCCAGTCGTAGGGAACCCACTTATGTCGTATTCGCGGCTGCTTCTTTTAATGATATCGTAAATACCAAAGCCATAGCCAGCATAATATATAGAGTTTGGCCTGAGTCCAGGAAACTTGCTTTCCTCTAAACAGAATGTCTCATTCTGACCTTGTGTAAAGGTCCTCGACCTCCGCGTCATCTTCTACTCGGAACCGTGGGCCAGATCAATCCTCCTCTTGCAAGGTTTCTGATTCCGGAAGTGATTCCTTTTTCCTTAATGAGATAAACCTTGTCATCAACTCATCATATATTTTCTCTCTACAAAAAGACTTTTTTTTTTTTTTTTTGTCAACAACCTAAGTTCCTAAACCGGTTCGGGAAGCGAGACCGGGGGAACTGAATTTATGTAATACACATCATGAGGCTGAGCTCGAGCACTCCGTGCTAACTTGTCTGCCTTCGTGTTGTTTGTCCTGGGAATATGTGATAGTGAGAACGCCTGGAACATCATTCTGCATTTCTCCACTTCCTCTAATAAGATCGCAAAAGCTGGCCACTCTGTAGGTTTGGACACCATCTTCACCAACTGAGCGCAGTCTGTCTGGAAATTCATCCGCCGTTTATTATGGAGGAGCATGCTTTGCATAGCCCAAACCAAGGCCTCCAATTCTGTTTGTAATGGAGATAAACCCCGCCGTAGATTGCGGGCCCCAATCAAAATTGATCCCGATTCTGGGTCGAAATTATACCACCCAAGTCCTGCCCGATTCTCTGTGATTTTCCAATCTCCATCAACCTGACACCGTTCGCCCAATAGAGCGGGCCTGGGATATGTAGAGCTAATAGAACGCCCTTTCTGTTACCGTTTGGGCCGCTGCCCATGCTCGTGCCTCCGTTAACGCGGACTCCATCACATCTTGTGGATTATGATCATCATTTGAGAAAACTTTATAATTCCGGGCTTTCCAAATGTACCAGAGTAACCATGGGTACATCATCATATCTTCATTGTCTGGAAGATTCCAGAATAGATGTGCCATGTTTGAAAATAGTGCGTCCGTGGGGAAGTACTGAGGTGGTGTGGGAATAGGGGATAAAGCCCAGGCCTGGCGAGCCGGAGGGCACTCAAACAACATATGATTTATTGTCTCATCTCCCATACTACATCTCACGCATTGCGGGTCCACTCGCATTTCCCGGCTACATAAGCGCGCGCCAACCGATAAACATCCAGAAATAATCTGCCAAAGAAAATGTTGAAGTTTAGTAGTACATTTGACCTTCCAGGATTGTGCTTGCAATCTCCGAACGTCTGGTCCGAAAACTGGTAGTGTCCCCTCGTCTGAGAGTTCCTGTAGAACACTATATCCCGATTTGACTGTATATCGACCCGATGTTGTGAAGTGCCAACCCCATGAGTCGGGTTTGTATCCCGTTGCCACCGGTATGCCCGCGATAAGAGTTACTTCGTCACTCTCAAACAATTGTAGCAATAGTGGACGATTCCACGTTGAAGTCTGGGAATTGATTAACTGATTCACCGTCAGGTGAGGGTAGTAATTAATTCCCTTGCAGATAGCTGGCCTCGGGCGAGAGTCAGAAATCCAGGGATCATACCATACTGAAATGGAGGAACCTGAACCAACTCTTTTGATAAGTTCTTTGTATACCAGAGGTCGAGCTGAAACAATACTTTGCCATCCATAGGACGGGGAGTATGAACGGATTGGGTCCAAGGGGGAGGAATTCCGAAAATATCTCCCCTTGAACACTTTAGCAAACAGTGAGTCCGGATTATCTATTAGCCGCCATAATTGTTTTGCAAGTAAAGCCGTGTTGAAATCTTCAATTACCCTAAACCCCAGTCCGCTATCGGTTTTGTGGCGACACAGCTTCCGCCATGCGAGCCAGTGCATACCACGTGTCTGTGTATTGGTGCTCCACCAAAAATTTGTCACTGCACTTGTGAGTTTATTGGTTACTCCCTTAGGTAACCGAAAGCATGACATGACATGGGTGGGCATTGTCGAAAGTACTGACTTGACCATCACTTATTTTCCCCCTTTAGAGAGGACCTTAGATGTCCATCCGTTTATTCGCTTCTGTTGTCTGTCAATGAGGAAGCTGAAGATTTTTGTCTTGGCTCCCCCAAAACTCTCTGGGACTCCTAAGTAGTTAACAACCCCCCCCCCACCTTATGTATACCCAGTATTTGATGAATTTCCAAACGTACCGCAGTCTCCACAGTATCGCCAAATTGAATGGAGGATTTATCGAAATTTATTTTTTGGCCTGATGCACGTTCATAACTCTGGAGAATCTGTAGCAAACCGTGCTCTCCTCGATTGTCGCCTTACAAAAGAACAAACTATCATCCGCGAATAGTAAATGTGAAACTGGTGGGCTAGCTCGTGCCACCTTAAGACCCGTCAGAGATTTAACCGATTCTGCCCGTTTTAGATTAGATATCAAGACTTCGGTACAAAGAATAAATATATAAGGAGATAAAGGATCTCCTTGCCGTAAACCCTTATTCGGAATTATTTTTCCCCGCGGTTGTCCATTGATAAGGACCTTATATGCAACCGACTTTATACACCTCATGATCCATCCAATCCATCGTTCCTCGAACCCCATTTTGCGCATAGTGGCCTCGATAAATTGCCACTCAACTCGATCGTAGGCTTTGCTCATGTCAGTTTTTACTGCTATATATTTTCCTTTACAAGACTTATTAGTCCTTAAACCGTGAAACATTTCTTGTGCGATCAGAATGTTATCGGAGATCAACCGCCCTGGGACGAACGCGGACTGAGTTTCCGATATCAGTTGAGATAAGACCTTTTTCAACCGCTCACATAAGACCTTGGAAATAATCTTATAGCCCACATTACAAAGACTAATTGGCCGCAATTCTGTCATTCGGGTTGGGCGTTCCGTCTTTGGAATTAAACAGATATTTGTCATATTTAGTCTGTCATCAAAAGCTCCGGATATCAAGAAACCATTACTAAGGTCCAAAATGTCTGTTTTAATTAACGGCCATGATCTTTGAAAAAACAAAGCCGTCATCCCGTCTGGTCCTGGAGCTTTCTCCGGGTTCATTAAAAACAAAGCTGTCCGCACTTCCTCCTCCGTCGCCGGACGCGTAAGCAGAGGATTATCTGTTTCTGTGACAACGCTGGGATTCCCGCAAGTATATCCGTAAAGTCATTTAAAGAGGTGGTTGTAAATAAATCTGAGAAATATTCAACCGCCACCTTCTCCATCTCTTTTCCCCTGTAACCCAGGTATCTGTTTTATCGTGTAACCCGACCATTCTTTTTATCGCCCTTCTCTGTTTTGTTGTTGCATGATAAAATTTTGTATTTAAATCTCCGTCCTTGAGCCAAAGGTTGCGACTTTTTTGTTTCCAATATTGTTCTTCATCGCGGTAAGCTTCTTTCAATTTTTGTGTAATCTCATCCAGATCCTTCTGGGTTCGGAGATCATCATTTTGGATTTACTCTAAAACTTTCTGTAAGTCCGCTATTTTTTCCTTCCCATATGGTTTGTTTTCATGTCTCCATCGGGAAATCTCATGACGGCATCTGCTAATCATTTCAACCACATTTGGTTCTTCATTTATCCGATTATCCAGCCACCCTCGTTTAATAGCCTCCGATAGACCGTCTTGCCCAATCCAACGTTTATCAAACCGGAAATGCCGCTGTGCCTTAGGAATTTTATTATCTACTGTCGCCAGAATCGGGCGGTGGTCCGAGCCTACCATTTTTAAATATTCCACATGTGACTTAGGAAAAATATCATGCCATTCTTTAGTGGCCAACGCCCTGTCTAATCGACAACGTACAATTTTCCCCCATCTTCTTCCCCGCCAAGATATTTTGTTTCCATGGTTTGGAAAATCTACTAGCCCACAGTCATCTATCATTAAATTAAAAGACATGAACGTTGATGCATACCGGATTGCACCTCCCTGTTTCTCGTGATTCCCCGTGATTTCATTAAAGTCACCAATCAAAAACCATGGCTCATTCCGTGAAATACCTATTCTAGTTAACTTTTCTCACAAATAGTCTCTTTTTTTCGGAACCGGATTTCCATAGACAAAAGACATAAATATAATTTGCCCTTCAATAGTGACTTGTGTGTCAATTAAATTCTCCGAAGAAGTAATAATTAAGACATTGAAATTATTATTATAAAATAAGGCTAGACCACCACTTGTGCCACATGGGTTAACTGTGTACAAATTATCAAAACTGAAATGAAATTGAAATTGTTGCATAAAAGTAAAATCCTGCTTGGTTCCACGCGCAACAACTGATGAAGAATAACGCGGATAAAAAGTGCAGGGACGTTGAGTTTGACGTGGGAACTTGGGTTTTTCTGAAACTAAAGCCGTACAGGCAGTTGTCGGTGGCACGGTGTGTTTGTCAGAAGCTCGCGGCAAAATACTTTGGCCCTTTTGAGGTGGTTGAGCGAGTGGGAAAAGCAGCTTATCGCTTGAACCTTCCCCTTGATGCGAAGATACATTCCGTGTTTCATGTCTCGCAGTTGAAACAGGTCATTGGCCCCCACCACGCTGTCTCTGCTTTACCACCGATGATTTGGAGGACATTGTGATCGAACCCGAAGCTGTGTTGAATTCTTGTTACTCGGATCAGGGCAGCCTAGAGTTGCTAGTTCAGTGGGTTGGTCAGTCAGCGGAGGATGGCACTTGGGTTCGCGCTAAGGAATTCAGGAAGCAGTACCCGGAGTTTGAGCTTGAGGACAAGCTGGTTGATAAAGAAGGGGGTATTGATAAGCTAGACCAAGTCTACATTCGCAAAAAGAAGAAGAATGAGGAGCTAAGTGAGGAATTGGCAGCACAAGAATGAGCTGGAAAACTAATGACGTGGCGAGAACTTGTAGTATAAATAATTAAGTTGTCGCTTTTGCTTTCTTTTATCGAACATTTGTGTAAACATAGACGAGAGGGTCTATAGGCGATCTAGGATCGCGACGGAGGTGATCGGAGTTCTCGGGTAAGAGATCCGATTACTTCCCTGCTTATCATGATTTTTTTTTCACCTTTTTATTTATAATCGTAAGTATTCCGTTATCCGATACGATTAGAGTGGAGAGAGAGTGACACTATTCTAGTCTTATCACATTGATGATCTCTTCCTTGCAAAGATCCAGTATCTTGAATTTCACAATGATTTTTCCGCTTCTGAAGAAGACTCTCCTACTTTGTCGCCTTCAGGTATCATAAACGGGGTTTGCTTACGTGGAGACGAGGAGAAGATGAAGCGAGCCTTTTGATCTTCTTTCTCTTCAACCTGTGAGATTGTTTGTTGAACAAACTATAAGATTATAACAATGAAACATAGCACAATAAATTGGATTTTGTTGGTAAAGCTTACTGAGAGTTCTGCGAACAGATTGAAAAGCAGAGACATTGTTGTCCGAGAAAGCAACCCCAAAACTCTTCAAACCCACTTGATTTGTTCCAAATTCCTAACCATAAGGTCGTGATCACGTGTGTTTATATTTTCACACTCACATGTATTATTTTTAAGACGTGTTTTCCAAGTAAAATATTAAGTCATAGCAACCAATAAAAAAAAAGGAACAAGAAGCTAGAGTAAGATGTACTTTCCCTTACACAGTTACTTTAAGTGACATAATTAGTCACATCCTATATATTTTGCTAAACAAAAAGGTTAGTTTTAGAAAATTTGACAAGGAAATCATTAAAAAACCAGAGTTTCTTACTATACTAAATAGATATATACATTTAATTGTGGATTTTATGCACAAGTATATTATTAAAAAATTAAGTACTATTTTGAAATAATTAAATGAAAAAATTTCACCTTTTAAGCATAAGATAGAAAAAACCCTATATATATTTATTGATTATCTTGTTAATTTCTTTTTGATGGATATACTCATATACAGATTTGATTCTTATTGTGTTTTTCTTTAGATATGTACCATATTCAATTTCCTCATGTACTATATTTATATTTTATTTTATTTTGAATTTTTAAGAAGATATGTCACGATACACTGTATTTCATAGTCTAATGATCTCAACCTTGCGTCACAAGCAAATGAACCAACTTTATATATAGTATAGATATAAGAAATATATATACCCCCTACAATCAATATATCAATATATGGGCCTATGAACAAACGATAGAGTTAATTTCAACAATGTCTCTGCTTTTCAACCTTGTAGCAAAACTCTTTGTAAGTTTTGATTTTTGGGAATCAACAAAACCCAAACAAAGTGTTTTGCGACCTTTCTCTCTGAATCCTTATGTTCTTTCTCACTACTTTTGAAATCTTTGTCGCAGGTTGAAGAAGGTGAAAAGGCCCGTTTCCTCTCGTATCCACGAAAAAACCCGTACCTATTGGCGGATGTAAGTATTGACGAAGACGAATCTTCAAATGATGAAGAAAACGTATTTGCAAGTTATTGGGTCTTCAATCCAAGGAGTGAAAAAATCATCAACATTACTGGCAAGAAATTCCCAAGAGTGCTGTACGATGATGGATGCATGCTCCTTGGAACCTCACGTGGCTGGGAAGTTTTTATGCGTATGCATGACTCCACCATACATCTTAGCCAAGTGTGTCATCCTTGGTCCTCATCAGATGCATCTCTAAAAACCATTGCTCTGCCTCCGTTTAACGATCACTTCGCTCATCATTCCTATAAGTACATAAATGTTTCCTTGTCCAGTCCTTTTCCTCACCAAGACGAAGATTATATAGTGAGTGTTACCTTCTTGGGATCTAAACTTAGTTACTGTATGCCTAATCGAGATTCAGAGTGGACCAACATCAACATACCTTTCTCCTGCGAAAAACCTAGAGTCGTTTATTCTCGGAAAGACCAAATGCTCTACCTCCTCCCAACAGGATGTGCCTACCTGGCTGCCTTGGATGTCAAGAAAAACAAGAAGAACCCTAACTTTCTAAGGTTGCATTTTGAGAGCTTCCCTTCGATACCACAACACGAGTGGGAGATATTGGCTTCATGTTTACGAAGTGATTATATGGTGGAGTCGTCTTCAGGCGAACGTTTCATTGTTCAATGGTAAAACCCCACAAAACAGACCCACGTAACTAACTATATAGCTAGGGTTCTTTACTTAAGTAACAAGAAGTGTATTTTCCTTTACTATGTTCTGCAGGTATGTCGAGCCAGCTTCCATTGTTGGGGACATTACTAGACTAGATATATCAACCAAGCGGTTCATGGTGTTCATGATAAAAGAAGTGGGGAGATACGAAGGAAGCAGAGTAACCGCTACCTACACAGAATACATTGGAGATCTTTGCATTTTCGTTGGCCAGAATGAGACATTCTGCTTAGAGGCAAGCAAGTTTCCTGGACTCAGGCCAAACTCTATATATTATGCTGGCTATGGCTTCGGTATTTACGATATTAGTAGAAAAAGCAGCCGCGAATACGATATAAGTGGGTTTCCTACGAATCGTATAAGAACTTTATTTCTGTCTCCTTCTCTCTATTAGTTCAATAATATAACATAATTTTAATATTTGTTACGGTGAAATCTCTTTCTTTTTCGACTTTACGATGCTTTTCTTTTCAAGTCTTGAGTAATGTTGTTTCTCTTAATTTGTTTCATTAACTATACTTTTGAAACTCAAAGGTGATGGCTCCCAAGTCCCAATCGTCCTCCTCTTTGCTTCATTGTTTGTGATACATTGTTTGTGATAAGTGATAAACGTATGTTCAATGTAGGGATTAGATTTGAGTCTTGATTGTCTCACGCTGACAAATGAATAATGTATACGAAATGTGAAGTAGAAATGTTGAGTCATGAAAGTTACGAAAGAATGTAGAAGAAAAAAAAGAATGAACGTAGAAATTAATATGATTTCATGTATGGCCATTAGGGCTATTGTTTGTCGTTGAGGGTCATGGTCATGAGCCATGAAGCTCTTTAAGTTCATACTTAGTCCACAATACACAATTGGATGTTGATTAATGAAAAAGTAGTTATTACTTGTTAGTACCTTCCCTTAACATGTTTATGTAATTTTCAATACACCAATAACATATATCATAAATGGGTATCAACGGTACCCGTTGGACACTTTGCTAAAACTCATCAATCGTTCGATAATAAACCGAGTGATGATTTATATGGTTAACTAGGAGGTGATCCGCGCTTCGCGCGGAATTTATATTATTGTGTTAATTTTATTGTTTTTCGCAAATTTAGTTTATTTCTATTGTTTATTATTGTTTCAAAAATATTACACATATTAATTAAAAATAATTAGGATTAGGCAAAATTAACGTACTGTCTTGTCCCATTGTATCCCATTTCGTTCATTTTCATCATGTCCATTCTTTCTCGTCTCATCCATCCTGTATGTCCCGTCCCGTCCTATCCCATTATGTTCCTTTCCATTTTGTTATGTCCCATCATGTTCCTTCCGTTTCTTCTCGTCCTGTTCCCTAAATATAACTAAGGATAGACAAAATTCCCGTATAGTCCCATCCCGTCCCATTTCATTCCTTTTCATCTTGTCCCGTTCTTTCCCCGTCCCGTTCCGTCCTGTCCGCCCTATCGAGTCCCATCATATCCTGTTATATTTTTTTTTCGGTTTTGTCTTGTCTCTGTCCGGTCCCTAAATATAATTAGGGGTAGGTGAAATTACTGTCCCGTCCCTTCTCGTCCCATTATGTCCCTTTCATCCCGTCCCGTCCAATCCCGTCTCATTCTGTTTTTTCATCTCGTCATGTCTAATTTGTATGTCTCGTCTCAGTCTTATCCCATTTCTCTTGTTATGTTTTTTTCGTCTCATCTTGTCCGGTCTCGTCTCATTTCATCCCAAAATAGTTAAAAAACAGTGTTCTTTTATATCTTGACATCAATGTAAATTATATAATCTAACAAAAATAAATTTACTAAATAATAGTTTTTCTAGATTTATACATAGTTTTCTCCTTTTTTAAAAAGTGACTTTTCATATTCTTTTGTTAAACTTATTATAATAATGAATGCTAATTATTATGAAATTAAAATATTAAAAAGAAAAAATATAATAAATTAAAGAAAATGCTGATGTGGCAAAATAGAGAATTTAGAAGCTATGAGAAGAGAGGAACATGAACTTTATATATATAGATATAGCATTTCCAAATATCCATTAGATCCACTTAATTCAAAAACTGGTTCCAAATCCATATATATATATATATATATATATATATATATATATATATATATATATATTCCACCTACTCTTTTCTTTTGTTCCATCACAAAAATAATTTTTTTTTTTTAACTTGTGATTTTAATTCAAGGACAAATGCTCAGTTCTAATTCTAATAAAATGATTTTAGAAACATCGTGTAAATTTTAAACTCTCTATTCATAAAGAAAACTTTACCTTTTGTAGTATAACTAGATTTAAGTCTGTGCTACGCGCGGGTGGTGTTATTACTTTTTTTTATTAAATTCTTTTAATGTTAATAAAGCTCATTTAAAAAAAATGATAATAACTTGAATCATGATCTAAAATATAAGATCTTGTTTAATTGGATATAAAATATATTAATGTTCATACACAGATCTTAAGTTTAAACTCACTATCTTCATAAAACCCTTAAACCCTTAACTTGTGATTAACCAAAACACTTTAAATGAAGAAACCCCACAATTTTTTATCTGTATAGAAAATAATTTGAAGAAACGCTTCCTACACGCTGGTTTTTTGTTTTTTCTGTTTTTTTTTAAAGAAGTGTATGCAACCTTATTCCAAGATTTCCAATATGTAAACTTTAGCTTAATTGATGTTGGAACATAATTGAGTTTGTTCTAACATTAATTTCTTTTAGTAACCGTTTAACGGTTTGTTTTGGATAGTTTAGTGAAGAGACACAAGTGTGAAGAGACACAACTCTTCTGTTGTTGTGTCTGCTTATTATCTATATAAACCTTTGTTGCTATAATGTAAACAATTAAGTTTCATATTAATAAAAACACAATTCCTCGTAATTCTTCTTTTTCATAAGAGAAGAGACAAACTCTTGTCTCTTGCTCTGTTTTTTGTCTCATTCTTTCTCTCTCTTTTTCTAAATCAAAATTCTAACAATTGAAACCTCCATATATAATAAGTTTATATTATTTATTCGTTGTGATTAAAATATACAATTATTTTTTTGCTAAAACCAAGATTATGAACTGAATTTTGGAACAACCAAACTTAGCCGTAAAGACTCTAAGGACTTTGACTGTTAATTTTTTATTTAAAAATATGGCTGTAGAAACTGTTGATTTAAAATGAAAAATTCTGGCTTTAGAAAATACTAAAAGCCATGTTTTTTTGCTTGAAAAAAAGAACTAAAACTGAAAAAATGGCTTTGAGGATTTTTAGAAGGAAGTTAAAGATTTTCCAGACTTTAGAAGCTTTAAAGTCTGATTGGGTAATTTTTGGCTTTCAAGATTTTTTTTTTCCCAAATCCCCTAAAGCTTTAAAAGCTAAATTGCCAATCAGTTGGAACATCCCAATGTTAGGGTCTAGAGAACTGAGCAGTGCAGTGAGCGCTGAAAACGGAATACAAGCTACAAAGGAGTTGGGGAGATACCGTGGAATGCCTATCCTTCAGAAAAGGATTAACAAAGAGACGTTTGGAACAGTGTTGGAGTGCATGTCATCGAAGCATGCAGGATGGAAAGGCAGTATGTTGAGTCTAGCAGGGCATATCACACTCACAAAAGCGGTGTTAGGTTCGATCCCAGTCCATACTATGAGCTCGATTAGACTTCCGGAGTCGACTACCAGAGCTTTGGATCATGTCTCGAGAGACTTTATTTGGGGCTCCACTTTGAAAGCAAGGAAACAACATCTTATCGGCTGGGATAAAGTTTGCTTGTCAAAAGCAGAGGGCGGTTTGGGAATCAGGAAGACAAGTATTATGAACAAGGCGTTGATAGCTAAATTGGGATGGCGGCTTCTTCACGATAACACTAGTTTGTGGGCAAGAGTGTTGAGAAGTAAGTGCAAGGTTGGGGATATACATGACACAACTTGGAGTGTTGCGAGGGGTACATGGTCCTCTACCTGGAGAAGTGTGGTTGTCGGGATAAGAGATGTGATCAGACCAGGTCACGGTTGGGTCATTGGTGATGGGCAGCGAGTTGACTTCTGGACAGACAAGTGGCTTGGGAACTCCCCTTTAATTGATGAGGTGGTGGCGGAAGTCTCGGAAGGTGTGAAGCGGATGAAGGCAACAAAGTTATGGTTGAATGGAACTGGGTGGGACATGGGAAGAATCGCACCGTTTGTCTCGGATGATACAAAGTTAGAGCTCGCAGCAGTTGTAGTGGATAAGGTTTCTGGTATGGGAGATCGTTTATCGTGAAAAGTGACGACATATGGTCGTTTCACAGTCGCCTCTGCATACCCTTTTTTGAGTCGGGATCATTTACATAAGCCGGATATGAGTTTTTTCTTCAAGCAAGTGTGGATAGTAATAGCACCTAAGAGAGTAGGGGTGTTCTTTTGGTTAGTTGGAAACAGATGCATCATGACGAATCAAGAAAGGTTTCGTCACTATATTGGAGATTCCGAAATCTGTGCAGTGTGTAAAGGTGGAGTGGAATCTATATTACATGTGCTTCATGACTGTCAGGCTATGGCCGGTATATGGCAGCGCATTGTGCCGAGAGGAAAAAAACAAGCTTTCTTTGCTATGTCTTGCTTGGAATGGATGTATGTGAACTTCAGTGAGAACGCCATGACGGAGAATGGTCCATAGTCCATTGTGTTTATGGTAGCGGTATGGTGGGCATGGAAATGGAGGTGTGGGAACATTTTTGGAGAGACTAAGTTGTGGAGGGACAGAGTGAAGTTTGTTCAGGACTACACAAAGGAGGTGTGGTCTGGTGCGAGCGCGAGTAGCAGTGTGGAACTCGCGAGCAGGCAGGAGCGTCTGGTTTCATGGACGCCACCGTTGGTGAGTTGGGTGAAGTTAAACACGGATGGCGCATCACATGGTAATCCAGGGTTGGCAACGGCTGGTGGAGCTCTACGGAATGGTGATGGTCAATGGTGTGGGGGATTTTCTTTAAACATTGGACGTTGTACAGCCCCGTTGGTGAAGTTGTAGGGAGTGTACTACGGCCTCTGTATCGCTTGGGAGAAGAAGGTTCAGCGCCTCGAGGTGGAGATTGACTCATCAATGGTGGTCGGATTCTTAACGACAGGGATTTCTGATTCACATATGCTGTCTTTCCTGGTACACTTGTGCCACGGCTTTTTATCGAAGGACTAGGAAGTCCGAGTTACTCATGTGTATTGTAACATCCGTAGCCCTTTTCCGGAGTTTTAAAGGTTGCGTCGGTCGTCACAACAATTGCAAAATCAGACCGGTTCAATTTAAGTGAAATTGGGCCCGGTTTAGCCTGGTTTGGGTCAGGAAGCCCTAATTTCGTGATAAAAGCTGAGGAGCCGCTTTTTGTCATTTGGTGGCCGCGAATCAGAGAGAAGAAGAAGAAGAGGCGATTTTGGACGAATTCGAGGTGTCCTTGAGGCAGATCGTGGTGTTTCGTAACTGTTCTTCCTTGCTTCTTCTCCTTTTCTCTGTTTCAATCCAAATCAAGGTGAGTGCATGACTGTAGGTCCGCAAATCACTAGATCTGGATTGATTGAATGTTGTTCTTGAGGTGTTCTTATGATATGAGGTTTATGTGATGATGTTTGGTTGATTTCTGTGTTAATTTGGTGTTTCTGCGTGTTTTGTTGATATCTCTGTCGACCTGACGACGTGCGTCGGGTGACGCAAATCTTGCGTCGGTCGACGCAAAGTGGTCTGCGTCTGGTGACGCAAAGCTTGCGTCGGTCGACGCAGCCGGTTGAGTCTGGTTCAATTGGAAATTGATTTCTGGTTCAAATTAAGTGATTTCTGGTTAAAATCTGGTTATTGGTTTAATTCGGATTTAATTAATTAAATACATTTAATTAATTAAGAGGCTTAAAATAATTATTTAAATTATTTTAAAATATGGAAAATTATTATTTAATTATGAGAATTATTTAATAATTGAGAAATGAAGTTTTAATTATTAATAATTATTTAATAATTGGAAAATGGTATTTAATAATTATTGGAGTTTATAAATATTATTAAATATCTAGTAAATTGCGTAATTGGCCTGTAGGCAGAGTGATTGCCTCACTAAGTATTTATTAAATACTTACGCAACTCCATTCCAATGTGTTGCAGGTAAAAGATTTGTGTGATCGCGGAATCAAGGCTGAAGAGGGGGATGATAGGATGTTTATTGTTTTATTGTTTTGCATTATTTTGCTAGACTTGTTTAATTATTATTTGCTTCCGCTGAACTGATTTATTTGTTATTGATATTTATTTATTTAATTTATTTTTAAAGACCTTCGCTAGAATTGATTAATATTTATAAAAATAAAAAAAATAAAAAATATTGGTTGTTTCATGTATAGGGAGGCTAATCATCTTGCCGATGAGTTAGCGAACTATGCTTTTTCTTTGCCACTAGGCCTGCATACTTTTGATTCAGTTCCGGCGGAGTTGTTGCGAGTTTGATGACGAGTGTGGAGTCACGCCACCAAGGCAAATCCATTTGTAATACTTTCTCTTTTAATAAAATAACTTGGGAGCTTGCTCATGGGATTCACCAAAAAAAAAAACGTTAGGGTCAACGTTTTCCCATTTTGATCCATCAAGAAAATGGGAAATTCTTTAGTCGATTAGCATGAAACTATATAACTTAAATAATATTTGGCTCAACGTTTTTTAAGAATACCGCATGCGATTCCCGTGTTTCCATAGGAGTGACTAGTACCTTTTGCCCGGAACAAAAAAGTAGCTTTTGATGATGGACGAATCTGTTTAACTATCGACAGTTCAATGAATTTTTTGTTTTTTTTTTGTTTTCGGACAACTAACAGTTAAATGTTTTTGAAGAATGCACAAAATACATCTGTGAGATGTGTCCTTATAAGCTTAACATAGCGTTAAAGACAAATATTGGCACATCGGTATTAATCAGGACACAAATCATAATCTGGTTGCTGGTTCATTACACTTAGAGACGAAAGTTACTAAGACGAAAGTTACTAAGCAAAACTTGCGTCGGTCGACACAAAGTGGTCGGTCGACGCAAAGTGGTTCAATTGGAAATTGATTTCTGGTTTAAATGAAGTGAATATCGATTTAACTGAATTGGTTTCTGATTTTAATCTGGTTAATTTATTTTATTTTAATTAATTAAAGGGTATTTAATTAATTAAGTGGCTTAAAATAATTATCTAAATTATTTTAAAATACGAAAAAATTATTATTTAATTAGAAGAATTATTTCATAATTTAGAATTGAGTTTTAATAATTATTGGGCGTTATAATAAAAAATTTAATAGCTAGTAATTGCATAATTGACCCGTATGCATGGTAATTGCCTCACTAAGTATTTATGAAATACTTACGCATCTCTTCCGCAATATGATGCAGGTAAAAGATTTGTGTGATCGCGGAATCAAGGCTGAAAAGGGGATGATAGGATTTTATGTGTTTTGCATTATTCTATTTGAACTTGTTTAAGTTGCTAGACTTGTTTATTTAATTATTTTTTTCTTCCGCTGAATTGATATTATTTGATAATTGTTTTATGTAATTTATTTTAAAAGCCTTTCTTAGAATTGTTAGGATTTAATTATATAAAAAAAGGGTGTTGGTTGTTTCAAGGTTGAGATCATTAGACTATGAAATAGATATCGTGACATATCTCCTTAAAAATTCAAAATAAAATAAAATATAAATATAGTACATGAGGAAATTGAATATGGTACATATCTAAAGAAAAACACAATAAGAATCAAATCTGTATATCCATCAAAAAGAAATTAACAAGATAATCAATAAATATATATAGGGTTTTTTCTATCTTATGCTTAAAGGTGAAATTTTTTCATTTAATTATTTCAAAATAGTACTTAATTTTTTAATAATATACTTCTGCATAAAATCCACAATTAAATGTATATATCTATTTATTATAGTAAGAAACTCTGCTTTTTAATGATTTCCTTGTCAAATTTTCTAAAACTAACCTTTTTGTTTAGCAAAATATATAGGATGTGACTAATTATGTCACTTAAAGTAACTGTGCAAGGGAAAGTACATCTTACTCTAGCTTCTTGTTCCTTTTTTTATTGGTTGCTATGACTTAATATTTTACTTGGAAAACACGTCTTTTAAAAATAATACATGTGAGTGTGAAAATATAAACACACGTGATCACGACCTTATGGTTAGGAATTTGGAACAAATCAAGTGGGTTTGAAGAGTTTTGGGGTTGCTTTCTCGGACAACAATGTCTCTGCTTTTCAATCTGTTCGCAGAACTCTCAGTAAGCTTTACCAACAAAATCCAAACTGTTGTGATATGTTTCATTGTTATAATCTTATAGTTTCTTCAACAAACAATCACAGGTTGAAGAGGAAGAAGATAACAAGGCTCGCTTCATCTTCTCCTCATCTCCACGTAAGCAAACCCCTTATATGATACTTGAAGGTAACAAAGTAGGAGAGTCTTGTTCAGAAGAGGAAAAAATCATTGTGAAATTCAAGTTATTGGATCTTAACAAGGAAGAGATCATCCATGTTACCCACAAGGCATTTCCAAAGTTGTTGTACGAAGAGTCACGAGTCATTGGAAGCTCTCGTGGCTGGACAGCTTTTATGAGCAAACATGATGGAACCGTACATCTAAGCGACGCGTTGACCAATCTCGTGTCCACAAGAGTCATGACTCTGCCTTCACTTTCTGATCCTTTGCGTCTTAGATCCAGTGCAATCATAAACGTCTCCATATCTTCTCCTCCTGATGAAGATGACGGTTACGTAGTGTTCGTCAAGTTCTTAGGCCCTGACCTCTATTATTGTAGACCTAATCGGGTCTCGCGATGGACGAAGATCGATATGATTTATCAATCACATATAAACTTATGTGATGTCATTTATTCACCAGGAACCGAAATGTTGTTCCTCGTGATAACAGGAGCGAGTTTCTTGCTTTGTTATGATCTCAATATGAACGAAAGGTATACGAGGCTGCATCTCATCAAGTACCCGAAGATGGCACAGTCCGAGTGGGAGTTGTTGGCTTTGTGTTCCAAGACGGACCAATTGGTTGAGTATGAGTCATCATGTGACAAATGTTTCATCGTGAGACGGTACGAGTCATCAAACTAAATTAACTAATTATGGCAATATCTAACAGCATGCACGTCGTGCAGGTACGTGGAGACATATGACCAAGGGGACAAAGAGATTGTATTCAACAAAATCAAGAGATTCATGGTGTTTCAGCTACATAAACAATTGAAGAATGGAGACATTACGGCTAAATACACCAAAGACATTGGAGATCTCTGCGTTTTCTTTGGCAAGAATGAGACATTTTGTGTTGATGCAAGCAAATATCCTGGACTTAAGCCTAACTCTATATACTACGTTGGATATGGTATCATCGGCGTTTACGACATTGGTGACGAAAAATTCCAACACTTAACTCCATCTATGCCTCTCAACTGGCCTCTTTAATTTAAAGAGTTGCCCAATCTTATCTAATCCTCATGTTTATTTATGTTCTTTTTTTTTTTTGCTTGAACAGATTTGTGGATGTATGTATACCATTTGTAACTTTTTCTTCATCAGTTTTTTTTTGCCAAAAATGGCAATATTCGGATATAGTTCCATCAAAATTCCTTAATGAAACACTGTATATACCATTTGGCTATCAAATGTGTTTTCTTTATTAACTACTCGTAAAATATTTACGGAAGTGCAGAACCTAAAAATATATGCAAAACATAAGTAAAATTTAAGCAAAAAAAGGGGAAAAACTTAGAAAAAAACACTTAGATTCAAACTGAAGATAGTAAAATTAAAATGGATGATTCATATTTCTTATACGAGAACAATGATTATCTTTCCCCGCTCTTTCTCATTTCCTTCACAATTTTTTTTTAATAAAAAGAGAAAATGTAATTGGTTATGAAGTCGGCACTATACTAACACATAAACAACAGCCTTCACTGCTGGTTTGTTGGTTAGGCTTGGCGCACATAATTCAATTTTTTCTTTAGGAGAAAGTTACATTGATATGAATTTGTAATAGGTCTAATTTATAATGTAAATATTTTCCTCATAAGTAGTGCTTCACTTTGAAGAAATCATACATTTTGATTCATTACGTTTTGTGCATGGATGAACTGAAACACGTTTTACTTTATGATAAATACTAGCTTACTTTTAACAGCAACAACAAAAATTACATACAAAACAATTTTGCATGTACTGCACACTTTTGTTCATGATGAATTCTTACGTTTGAAATATTGTAAGAAACTATACACATACCTGAATTTCTCTAAAATTATATTGGTACTTATGTAAGAATTGGAAAAGGCATTTTATAACGACGCATGATGTATTCCATCAAAGTCACACACAAAAAAAGTACAAAATTAAAAGATATAGTTATAAATAACAGAACCTGCAAATAAAGCAATACTAATTATATTTTTTTATAATTGATCTACCCCTCTGTTTTCCAATAACTGGCATTTTAGTCTTGTGCACACATATTAGAAATCAATAAATTTTTAAATTTTTCAAAATAAAACATGTTTTATCATAAATTCCAACACAATTCAACCAAATAAAAAGCCAGTCTTCATAATTTAAACAGTCAAGGCATTGATTTGTGAGAAAGCCATTTATTTGTGAACAAAATTTTTCTATTTATAACAATTTATCATAAGAGGCAGTTAAAATCTGCAGGTGGGTTTATGTTCTAGGGTCGATCTCTTATCTCTCAACTTATCTCTCTCTCTCTCTCTCTCTCTCTCTCTCTCTCTCTCTCTCTCTCTCTCTCTCTCTCTCCGTGCTAGGGTTTATGTTCTAGGGTCGATCTCTTATCTCTCAACTTAAATTACACTTTGCATTCTTAGAGGCAGCTCAAGATTCACGGAGATTGGGATTCTTACATTGGGAGCTCAAGAATCATGGAGATTTATATCCACACGTTTCCCTAAGCATAAACTTTTTCCATTTGTTGGGCAACGCAATAGCGTCATTTGCATTGATGGCTTTATTTACTATGAAGCTTTTATGTGTTCGGCTATGAATTACGCCATAATAAGCTTTGATCTCAGATCCGAAGAGCTTAACCTTATTATACATCCGAAAGGGGAAAAACAAGGTTCGTTGGTATCTTATGAGGGAATGCTAGCTTTTGTCACTTCCATTAGCTCTGGTGTTGAATTATGGATTTTGGAGGATGCACAAAATCACAACTGGTCATATAAAAGCTTCTCTTTACCTCCTCCTCCTCCTTACGAAAAATGGATGTTGAAGGGTGTTACTGATGCTGGTGAGTTTATTTATATCTACATACCAGCCTGTATGTATTATCATGATCAATCAGGAACGTTTTGCAAGAGTAGTGAACTTATTTGTGTAGACAAGAGTTTGTATGAGTCGTTCTCTGTTATGTATTTTGATCCCAAGAAGAAAATTACAAAAGAAGTTTAGTTTGGAGGAATTGCTTGTGACGATATTCGGAGACTCGATGAAGTAAAATTCGATATTCGCAATGATTTAATTGTTATACCAAATCACATTGAGAGTCTCATCTCGTTGTAAGAGCTTTGGTTGTTTTTTTTGTCATACATTCTTATCTGATTCTAGACCTCTCCAAAGGATGTGAAGGATGCCAGACATGAATCTCTTCTCTCTCTCCGTCTGACCTCCATTATCCTTCCGAATATGAATTCTTATTTTGTTGATATAGGGTGCAATGCTTTCTCGAAAATTTGTTGTATGGGTTGCACTATTAAATCTCATTTGAATTCTTCTGCTCAATAGTAATCCAAACAAACTATTTACTTTTTCGACTATTTTTTTGAAGCTAAGATGAACTAAATATTATATAGTATGCTATTGTTTTCTTGATTTTTCGTTATAGCTCCCAAAGCTTGACCTCTCTCATCACCGAAAAAAACTGCAACTGAATTCATATGTCTTCTATACAACATTACGCAATTTTGTTTCTATCTCCATTTTTTATTCATAGATTATGTAATGTTGAGATGACTCTTTTGCAATGTTGGCTTTGTTTGCTTAGAACAATTCTTCGGTTATTTGTATGTAACCTACTCTTTATTTGTAAAAACTTAAGTTTGGTCAAAGATAGTTCACCTTAAGGGTTTAGTTATATTTTAATTATACAAATGTTTTTAATATCTATACTATACATATAAAAGTTGAGGCTATAAGCCATTGAGGACGTCCACATAGGATTATAAAACACTATTTTATTGGTCCACATAAGCATCTTTAAGATTAAGAAAGTTTCCAAATTTTAAACTACCAATAGTATCATTCCACATAATCATATAAAAATTAAGAAATTTTTCAAATTTTAAACATCCAATAGTATTAATCTATATCATCATATAAAATTAGCTATACAGTATTTGTTAAATTGAGTAATTTCTTTCTTATGTTTCAAGAATATTAATTAGTATAATTTGTTTAAATTAGAAACTCCCAAGTCTAAAGTAATTAAATTAATATTTCTTTTAAACTCTAAAGTGATTTTAAATTGTACAGAACTACAGATTAAATTATTTGATGAAAAATTATTGTTTATTAATGAAATAGCTGATCCGGCGGATTCACCAAATTAATTTCATATCAGAAGACTAAGGCCTGATTGGTAATGGCTGTAGCTTTCAATTTTTTGCTGTAGAAATTTGGATATAGATTGTTTTGCTGTAAGATTTTGGCTGTGAATTTTTGACTGTGAATTTTTCAAAAGGAAAGCATGATTGGTAAAATACCATATATCTGTAGGTTAACAATTTTGTATCTAATTAAAAATGCATAACTATTATTATATATGAAAATAAATAATAAAAATATAAATAATTTGTGTTAAAACACCATGCAAATTTTAAGAAAATAATAAGTATCTAAAGTAGTTATGCTAAAAATAACGTAGAGCTTTTAACGTAATGATAAATTAATAATAGTTCTATATATGAGAATTTCATTAATTCATTGCAATTACATAACACCACAATTGTTAATCTAAAAATCTATTCATGTAGGTGATTTTATATGCATGACTGCATGTCACATATGTGTTACAGAAATTTTTAAACTAATAAAATACGGCTAAGAAGAGATAGTGGAAGACAACCATCCATCATAATAATTAAAAGTAAATAAGATATTTACAGGATACATAGCAAGAGAAAAAGAAGAAAGACTCTAATTTTTGTCTTTTCCTTCTTCTTCTGGGTTTTGTGCCGATACGAAAGCTGCAAAAAGTTTGAAGGCGTGATGAACGATCTTGAGTTAGGTTTCTAATTTATAAGTATTGAATTAGGGTTTTCTTCATATTTATTAACTATTTTTAATTAGTTTTATAAAAAAATAATATCTTTTTAGTATGGAGAGCACACAAAATTGGTCTCTAGGTTTTTGGCTTTCTACAGAAAAAAAAAAGACGGAGAGCAATTTTTTGCTGTAGACTTTAAAAAAAAAAGTAAAAGGCATGATTGGTATCTAAAAGTGCTGTATATTTTAATTTTGGTTGTGGACAGCTTCTACAGCTCTTCCCAATCATGCCCCTATCGAATCGAATTCCCAAGTTGTACGACTTTTCATTTTATGCAAGATGTTAAACACACGATCTGGATTCCACAAATGCTGATGTTAATTTGATGGATAGAAAACATACGAAATGAACTTATCTGTTTTTAAGGCCATACTCGAGAAGAATTATTATAGCCCAAATATTTACTACTTAATTTTATCACTTTTGGTCTTATTATTGATTCAATAATTTATTTAACTTCAAATTAAAATTAACATTGAATTGAATAACTGTGTAACTCAAAAAAATAAAATCTTCAAAAATTACAACATTCGAAGCACACCTCAAGAGAGCTAGTTGAAGATAGTTTGAAAAGCTCGATGTGTATCTTGGTAACCAAGTAATAGTATTGTCAAATATCTTGGAAACCTAAATGGAAGAATTCTCTAATTCAATATACTCTTTAGCATATTTATTAAGGAAATTTTACATTACGTTGTGAAAGCAATATGTTATGGTTTTATACTTTTTTACATAAAAGAGTTAGAAACAAAAGCTGAATAATAATATTTGACATGTTCAAAAGTAAGACGAAAATCAAAAGAAAAATTGAAATTAAAAAGATACCTAAAGAACCTTGCCGGTGAACCTAATGCAGCCCATTTTCGGCCAGAGTCCACGTATCTATACATACGCATAGAGAAAGCGTAGAAACAGATGAAAGAAGAAATTAGGGTTTTTAAAAAGTGACACAGACAAAAGAACAAATTAGGGTTTCAAAAAAGTTACGTGATGGAGCCATCCGCCAGCCATAGAAAAAGAAGAAAACGAGAGAAGACGAAAAAGATCCAGAAAACAACACAAACTTCACATGATAATAATGACATATCGGAATCAGAGCCGATCCCTCCCGACATAATCTTTGAGATACTCTCAAAACTGTCTATGGAATCAATTGTGAGATTTCAGTCCGTCTCTAAGCTCTGGTCGTCCATCACCGCCACTCCAGAATTCACCAAGGCTCGGTCCTCGCCATCACCGCCGCGTGTTCTACTACTCTTTCAAAAACGCGAGAGGGTGTTCGCTTTCTCGTCTCCGACACAAGAGAGTAATAATCCCGACAATCCCTACCCTCCGCGAGTGGTCAGTTGTCCGTATGAATGTCTCTATAACTGTTTTGATTCCGTGTACGGCTTTGTTTGCTTGCGAAGTCTTACACAGTTCAAGATTTGGAACCCAACCACGGGACGTGTCTTCACTCTACCAAAACTTGAATGTGATGAACGCTCAATCGCGAATAAGTTTTTATTGGGATATGGTTCGGTTGATGATGAATACAAAGCACTTAGCATTCTTAGAGGCAGCTCAATTGGGATTCTTACATTGGGAGCTCAAGAATCATGGAGATTTATATCCACACGTATCCCTAAGCATGTCCCTTTGCCATTCGCTGGGGTACACAATAGCGTCATTTGCATTGATGGCTTCATTTACTATGAAGCTTTTATGTGTTTGGCTATGAAACACGCCATAATGAGCTTTGATCTCAGATCCGAAGAGCTCAGTCTTATTAAACACCCGAACAGGGAAAAACGATGTTTGTTGGTATCTTATGAGGGAAGACTAGCTTTGGTCACTTCCATTAGCTCTGGTGTTGAATTATGGATTTTGGAGGATGCAGAGAATCACGAATGGTCACATAAAAGCTTCTCTTCACCTCCTCCTCCTTACGAAAAATGGATGTTGAAGGGTGTTACTGATGCTGGTGAGTTTATTTATATCTACACACCATTCTCTACTTTTCGTTTTTCCGGAAAATTTCGCGGGAGTAGTGAAGTTATTCATGTAGAAAAGAGTTTGCATGAATCCTTCTCTGTTATGTATTTTGATCCCACGAAGAAAACTACAAGAGAAGTTAAGTTTGGAGGAATTGGTTGTGACGATATTCGGAGACTCGATGAAGTTGGATTCAATATTCGCGATGACTTAATTGTTATACCAAATCACATTGAGAGTCTCATGTCGTTGTAATAAGAATAACTCTTCATTACTGCTATTTTTCTTTAGCTTTTCTTTTGTAATCACTGACTACTGTTTTTATTGGGAGTTTTTTATTCATGATTTGTTGATTCCTTTATCCCAACATGTTTTAATTTGGATTCTGCAGACTACTTGCGTTATACTAAGACACTATGCATATAAAATCATTGTAAACACAAAGCACTATGCAAAAACATTTACTTAAACACACCGAGAATAAAATATATTATCCTGAAAAATGAAAAATGAAAAACACAAAGGACAACAGAAGAAACCTGTAAAGACAGAGAATGTAACATGTGTTCAAGATTCATCTGATCTGTTTCCCACATGTTGTCAACTAAGATATGAGTTTTTGTAATATACATGACGTTCCATGACCAGTTTCTTCAAAATCAGGCGATATAATTAGCCACACAAGTTCTGTATTCCGAAACCAAGTTCCACATTTAGTTAAACCCCTAATTGTTCTTGGCAACAATAACAAACCTAAAATCTAGATACAAATGCGACAACCTCTTGACCATCATCTCAAGTATCTATTGTTTGAACATAACATGATCACCGCAAGATTGACGTAGACTTCAAGCAACGAGCATTTCTGAGGAGGAAACCCAAGAAATCTCTCTCTTCTGGTCTTCCCATGTACCCTTTAAACTCCAAAGTCTCAAGACTCCTCAACAAACATTTCGGAACAGAGCTCTGCTTATCGTCCCACCTAATCCGTTCATACTCGGTAAAACATGGATCCTGTGATGATCATAAAAGAATAAGAGAAGCCATACATTGTTTTAGACGGCAAAAAGAGTCAAACGCAGAAACTTACATGGACGTAAAGATTGAGGACTCGCAGTTTAGGAGAATCTTTGAGCAACCGGACTAGTAACTTTGACCAATAATCGTTGCATAGACCTAGCTGATTGAAAACAATGCCAGCACGATACACTGTCTGCAACAACGTGACAACATAACAGAACTTAGACTTATATAACTTGTAACTAATAAGTAAAACAATGCGATTTGAAAACATATTTACCTCTTCGCTACTGTTGAATAATCGGCACAATGAAAGGCGTTTGACAGATGTGACTGGCTCGATAAGCTTCTCAAGGTCTTGCTCAACACTAATCTCTGCCTCTTCCAGCTTTGGCATCTGCTCAATCAAATAGGAATAACTCTCTCTCTCGTCCTCAACTCTGAAATACTTCAAAGAAGGTGTAACCACCACATACCCATCGGAACAACTTTCACAACCTATCTTCAAAGACAACCTCTGCAGAGACGGGACGATAACAACCAACGCCTTCACATTATCATCATCCCCGTCCCGCTCAATAACCAAATCTTCAAGCACAGGGGAATAAGACAGAAGCAGCCGAAGAGAAGCTTCGTTCAAGAACTTAACTTGTTGAAGATGCAGAGTTTTCAAGGAAGGGAGAGAAACCGTTCTTGGAACATCCACAAGAATCATTCCTTTAAGCTTCAAAGTCACCAGAGACTTGCAGGTATACAAGCTACAAGGCAGTGATAAATCAGTCTCGACATTGAAAGACGGATAGTAAATGCTTAGCTCACGCAAACAGCGAGAGACTGCAATCCCAATCCACAGTTTAACATCCTCAGGGTGAAATGATCTGCAGCAAGATTTGAGGCACAAGCTTTCAATCACCGGAGCTCTGTGTAAAGGCAGATTCTTGCTGATAAAACCTCCAAGTGCAGGATTTGGATCTATGTAATCGAGTTTAGGCAGCCACATCCAAAGAAACTCCCATCTCTTTGATAAAACGCTTGTGGATACTGCAACTTTTGTGGGAAGAAACGAGAGTATCTTCACAAGCAATTCATCGCATAACCCACTGAATCTGTCCATTATCTCTACAAAATCCTGATTACAAAAACACGATAAGATTCGGAAAGACCAAACGATTAGGGAGCAAGTGAGAAACGAAGCCACACCTGTGAATTTCAGTGGAGGCTCGATTTTCTGCTTCGGAAACGGAATCAGAGGACGAAGAGCTGAGAGAGCATTTGTCGACTCTGTATACCCATTCTAAACTCTGAATAGTCGCTGATTGTAGATCTGAATAAAGCTTAAATCGAGAAGGTGAGGAAAAAGGAAGAAGAAGGAGGAGGTAGCTAATCGGAACTCACGGAGCATCGTCTCCATTTCATCGGAACGGCAAAGCTTTCGTTCTCGCCGTCGAGACTCACCAGATCGTTGGGCTTCAATTTAATCTCTGATGGGCCTGATCTGGAGATGGGCTTCATTTGGAGTTCTTTCTTTTTCACTGTGAACGTGATCGTTTTGTTTGTTTTTACTTTTTACCAATTTTTTTTTGTCTTTCGATTGTAATAATTTTGTCTTTCAGTTAATGTAGTTTTTCTAACAACTGTAAGAAATTATTTAATTTGTACGACATATGTAAGTGTGCATATAAAATCATTTGAATGGGAATATCAAATTTCTCGTGGAGCACTTATAAAATCATCTAAATCAACTTCAACAACTTTTTATTGATCAAATCCAGTTATGTCATATGCAAATATATATATCTTAAAAAAATATATATATATCTTAAAATTTAAAAACCAATTGATTCGAACCCTCCTCAACCAAGTACGAGGTTGCATGTGGTAGAAGCGCGGGAACAAAGTTCCAATTCCTTGATCATCTCAATCTTCTTTTGTGGATCCAACACTGAACCAGTCAAGAGTCTTGCGGTCTTTAATCGACAAGAGTTTCTCAAGACATATTTCGCCATATCTTTCCCTTCCATGCTTACGTCGTAACCTCTCCACTTGAAAGTTTGGAGACTCGACAACAAACACTGAGGAACACTAGTCAATTGCTTCCAGCAAACCATTGTATCCATACCATCACGTACATATTGTTCCTTATTAGTTTAAAACAAACAAAAAAAATGATTTTAGACAATACAGTGAATTATGCCACAAATTAATAGCCTATAGAGAGTATAGAGAAACTTACATGGAACGTCAAATCTCGTAGTTTGGGAGAACCTTTGATCAACGAGAAAAGTAACTTTGACCAATATGCCCTATATGTATCAAGCTTCAAATTCATAAGCTCATTAAAGACAAAATCCATATCATCACCGTATACAACCTGTACAACGGATGATGGTTAGTATTTTTATAGTTAAAAATCGAAGATTTGACGTTGAAGTATATCAATGGATTTCAAATTTACCTCTTCAACGTGCGAAACTAGGTGTAACGAAAGACGCTTGACAGATGTGACAGCTTTAAGAAGTTTCTTGATATAGCGGAATTCAAAAACTCTGATCTCTGCCTCCTCCAACTTAGGCATATTCACAACCAAATATGAAGAATTCCTACTATAATCTTTGACTTTGAAATACTTCAAACAAGGAGTATCAATCACACATCCATCAATAACATCTAAGGATAAACTAAGCAATGACGGGATAGTAACAGCCAACTTTTTCACTTTGTCACCTGTAATTCTGTGGACAAATAGATCTTCGAGAACAGGGCTACTTGATAAAAGTCTCTGAAGAGATCCTTCATCTGCGTATGGCAAATCACGAAGGTGCAAGGTTTTCAAAGACGGCAAGCGAACAACGTGAGGAACATCCACGAGAACGTGATTTTGAAGTTTCAATGTGACCAGAGATTTGCAAGTATACAAGCTGCTTGGCAGTAAGGCCTTAGACTTGCCATGTAAACGATAAAAGTCAATACTTAGCTCACGCACAGAGCGTGAAACTGCAAGTTCAACCCACGATGTGATATCTTTAGGTTGAAATGGTTCATTGCGGAGTGCGAGACACAAGCTCTCCATGACCGGAGATCTATGTAATGCCAGACTCTTGTCAATAAAAGACCACATCCTCTGGCTCTCTGACAGTAAAGAATCGGCTCTAGTACTGTCACCCTTACAGATACATTGATGGATTCTGTAATAAAGGTTAGTGTCATCGTACTCAAGTTTTGGCACGCGCATCCAAAGAAACTTCCATTGCTTCGACAGAACACTAGTTCTTACTGAATCTTTTGTTGGAAGATACGTTAGGATCTTAAGAAGCAATTCATCATCAGAAAAACCAATGATCTTATCCATATCTTAAACAAACACCCTAAGATTCTGTTACCTTCACCGTAGGGTATAAGAGACTTGGATTGTTTTTTTTAGCCGGAGCCAATCAGAAGACTAGTAACAACAGGCACGGAGCAAAACCCTTGGAAATATCTAACTTGTCAAAACCCTAGGAACGGAAGTCAAAGGAACTGGACGATGAGAGAAGTAGTTTCTAAGACACTTTCAGCTCAAGAAGTACGTGACACGAGCTTGCAATTCCGTACGTCTTCGCTCTCGTATAAAAGTTGTTGTTAACGTGGGGAAAAAGATTAAAGATATAGGCAAACTTCCTTTATAACCTAATATTTCGTAGAGAATAAGGAAAAAAACACATAAACCTAAAACAAAAAAAGAAAAGCTCTCATATTATATACTAGATTAGGCCCCGCGTATACGCGGGTTTATTTTTTTTTTTTTTTAAATCACGGAAGAATATTAAACAAAATTTGATCAATTTTAAAAATAAGAAAATAATATTAAAAACCCGATAACAAATCTCTAAATAAAGATATGTAGTCTTTTACATTTTTATTTTGAATTCATGATATGAAATAGAAAGATTTACATGTGTCTAAATCTAATCGACTCATTATTTTATGAAACTTTGATTATTCCATGATGAAATCTTTATTTTTAATATTTTTTTACCTAACAAAACATGAAAATTAAACTATTTAATATTAGAAGATCAGTCCATTATAAAATTTTCTTTTTTAATATTATTTAGTTCCTTAATAATTATTTTGTTAGTTTTCTATTTATATTGTTTCTTTTTCAATTTCGTTTTTGCCTCTGACCATTATAAATTTTCATTTTCATTATTAGTTAGTTGTTTTAATATTATTTTGTTAGTTTATTTATTTATGTTACTACATTTTTCCAATTTTCTTGTGTTGACACATGTCATCACTTCATCAAATATTAGACACATGTATCGATCTAAAGTTAAGTATTCTTCATTGATATCTTTAACTTTTAAAGACATGAATTTTATTTCTTAATGAGAAAGAAACTTAAAAAATATAGCTTGTTATATATTTTTTTTTTCATTTTCGTAATGGGAATATGTTTTTTTTTCCTTTTCTTATTGGATGTAACATTTTTTAATTATTTCTTCATGTTTTTCTGATTTTCGTTTTTTTTTCCTTTTCGTAATAGAATTATGTTTTTTCTTTACTTCTCATAATGGATGTAATATTTTTTCTTTTTAATTGTTTGTTTCCTGTTTTCTGATTTTTCCTAATGTACTAATAGGATTTTATTCAAATAATTTTAATTTCGATCCAATTGACCTAGAGTCAAATAATCTCCACTGTTCTCTTGAACTTTCAAAGACATGATTTTGAAATTAGAGAAAGAGAATCAAAGAGATTTTCTGAATTTGCTTTGATGAGTTTGTGAATGAGAAAAAGAGACTACAATAGCTCTCTTTTTATAGGGTTCATGTAACCAATTTCATACAGTTTTAGGATATTTAGTTTACATACCTATTACATGTACTAATAGGATTTTTTTAAATAGGAGTTTATATAACCTATTCCATACAATTTTAGGATATTTAGTTTACATACCTATTCCATATACTAATAGGAATTTTTTATTATTATTTTATTTTATTATATAAAATTTCGTTTTTATTATAAGATATTAAAATTTCCCTTTAAAATAAAAATTTTTTTTTCCGAAGACATGTGTCACGATCTTAACGGATATAACATTAAAAGTGACACATGTCGCAATCCTATATTTTATAAAAATCCTACGTGTCGCAACCACGTCGCGCGCATCCAGCTTTATATAATAAGATTTATTTTCCCTTAATTTTTTTTTCCTTTTTCCCAAGACATACATTATTTTCAATTTATTATTTAAATTTTCGTTTTTATTATAAAAGATTAAAATTTTCCTTTAATTTTTTTTCCTTTTTTCCAAGACATGTGTCACGATCTTAACGGACGTAACATTAAAAGTGACACATGTCGCAATCCTATATTTTATAAAAATCCTATGTATCGCAACCACGTTGTGCGCATCCAGCTTTATATAATAAGATAAGATATTTTTTTAAAAAATATTATATATAAATTATTTTTTTTTAAGAAAAGAGGTAACTGATATTATTACAAAAATATTAGCACATTCATAAAAAATAATAATAATAATAATGTTAATTAGGAGGAGTTTGTCCTTTGCTTGTGACGCAAGTTTGAGATCATTAGACTATGGAAATACTGTTCAGCCTGGTTAACTATTGTATATCGTGACATATCTCTTTTTTTTAACACTAATTGACTAATCTTGTGCAAATTATTAGAGCTGTTATAAGACAAATTGATATATCTCCTTAAAAAATTCAAAATAAAATAAAATATAAATATATTACATGAGGAAATTGAATATGGTATATATTTTTTTTTTGTTAGCAACTTTGATTCATTTAAAAGCCCAAAAAATGGGCAAACCCAGTACAAATGTGATTTCAACCAACAACCTTATAAAATAAAGCCCAAACAAATTAAGCTCATCATATAGAACAATGATAAATCTAATTGTACTGCATGCATGTGATACACGTGTCTACACGTGTTAGATTCAGAAGATTGTTGGATGCGGTGCCGGAAAAGCAAACCGCCGGCTGACAGCCGATGCAGTGCCTCTTAGAATCGCCTCGCCGAAGCAGCGCTCCACTCCGGACACGTACTGGAAGTTCCTCTTCCGAACAGATTCCGCCATGAACAGAGATCTGAATTCTTCTCGCCACCACAAACTCCATCTCCGACCACCATACTGCTTGGGATACTCCACCCCTAAACCTAATCAAAGGCCCTTCAGCGGAGGGGTGAAAAGATTTTACTCCCTACAAGAAGATGATAAGAGCAAATAATTGACAAAGAAGAAAACGATCTATCATGAACAGATCCTGACCTCATCATAAGAGATGGAAGAATTCATAGAAGAAGAGGCCGGTTCACGAAAAAGAACAAGAGAACAAAATAAAAAACACACAAAACAACCGGACACAGCCGGATATTAACAGCCGAACTAAGTCGGAAAGCAAAACCGGACAAAACCGGAACTAAACACCGATCAAGATCGGATTATTATTAAATAGAACAGAAATCCGATCTAAATCGGAGAAGAAAGGAGAAAAGAGCTTTCTCTCTCTGAAATATTCGAGAGAGAGAAGAGAGAGAAAGCTTGTATATCTATTTATATGAATATGGTACATTACATCTAAAGAAAAACACAATAAGGATCAAATCTATCTCCATCAAAAAGAAATTACCAAAATAATCAATATATATATAGGGTTTTCTTCTATCTTATGCTTAACAGATGAAATTTTTCATTTAAATATTTCAAAATAGTACTTGATTTTTTTTAATTTACACATCTTCATAAAATCCACAATTAAATGTATATATATATATATTTATTATTGTAAGAAACTATGCTTTTTTAATGATTTGCTTGTCAAATTTTCCAAAACTAAACTTTTTGTTTAGCAAAATATATAGGATGTGACTAATTATGTCACTTAGGGTAACTTTGTAAGGGAAAGTACATCTTACTCTAGCTTCTTGTTCCTTTTTTTTTGGTTGATATCTTGTTTGGAAAACACGTTTTAAAAATAATACATGTGAGTGTGAAAATATATACACACGTGATCACGACCTTATGGTTAGGAATTTGGAACAAATCAAGTGAGTTTGAAGAGTTTTGGGGTTGCTTTCTCGGACAACAATGTCGCTGATTTTCAATCTGTTCGCAGAACTCTCAGTAAGCTTTACCAACAAAATCCAAACTGTTGTGATATGTTTCATTGTTATAATCTTATAGTTTCTTCAACAAACAATCACAGGTTGAAGAGGAAGAAGATCACAAGGCTCGCTTCATCTTCTCCTCATCTCCACGTAAGCAAACCCCTTATATGATACTTGAAGGCAACAAAGTAGGAGATCAGTCTTGTTCAGAAGAGGAAAAAATCATTGTGAAATTCAAGTTATTGGATCTTAACAAGGAAGAGATCATCCATGTTACCCACAAGGCATTTCCAAAGTTGTTGTACGAAGAGTCACGAGTCATTGGAAGCTCTCGTGGCTGGACAGCTTTTATGAGCAAACATGATGGAACTGTACGTCAAAGCGACGTGTTGACCAATCTCGTGTCCTCAAGAGTCATTATACTGCCTTCGCTTTCTGATCCTTTGCGTCTTAGATCCAGTGCAATCATAAGTATCTCCATATCTTCTCCTCCTGATGAAGATGACGGTTACGTAGTGTTCGTCAAGTTCTTAGGCCCTGACCTCTATTACTGTAGGCCTAATCGGGTCTCGCAATGGATGAAGGTCGATATGATTTATCAATCACATATAAACTTACGTCATGTCATTTATTCACAAGGAAGCCAAATGTTGTTCCTCGTGATAACAGGAGCAAGTTTCTTGCTTTGTTATGATGTTAATATGAAGGAAAGGTATAGGAGGCTGCGTCTGATCAACTACCCAAAGATGGCACAGTCCGAGTCGGAGTTATTGGCTTTGTGTTCCAAGACGGACCAATTGGCTGAGTCATCATGTGGAAAATGTTACATCGTGAGACGGTACGAGTCATCAAACTGAATAACGTCTAAATTAACTAATTATGGCAATAAACAGCATGCACCTACGTCATGCAGGTACGTGGAGACATATGACAAAGGGGACAAAGAGATGGTATACAACAAAACCAATAGATTCATGGTGTTTCAGCTAGATGAAAAAATGAAGAATGGAGAGATTACGGCTAGATACACCAAAGACATTGGAGATCTCTGCGTTTTCTTTGGTAAGAATGAGACATTTTGTGTTGATGCAAGCAAATATCCTGGACTTGAGCCTAACTCTATATATATACTACGTTGGATTTGGTATCGGCGTTTACGACATTGGTGATGGAAAATTCCAACAGTTTACTCCATCTATGCCTCTCAACTGGACTCTTTAAAGAGTTGCCCAATCTTATCTATTCCTCATGTTTAATTTTTATTTTTGCTTGGACATCCTTGGGAATGTGTTTGGTGTTTGGCATGTGTTCCTCAGTGAAACAGTGTATATATACACCATTTGTAAGTTTTTCTTCATCAGCTTCTTTGCCTAAAATGGCAATATTTATGATCTGTTCTACTATCATGATGTATTTATTCGGATATTATTCCATCAAAGTTCCTCAGTGAAATACTGTATATACCATTTGGCTATCAAAATTGTTTTCTTTATTAAATACTAAAATATTTACGGAAGATGTAGAACCTAAAAAGCTTCAAATATAGTCTTAGCTGAAAGTAAAAGAAAAACAAATATATGCAAAACATAAGTAAAATATAAGCAAAAAAAAGGAAAAACTTATAGAAAACTTGATTTAAACTGAAGATAGTAAAACCAAAATGGATGATTCATATCTCCTATACGAGAGCAATGATTATCTTTTCCCACTCTTTCTCATTTAATTTCCTTCACAATCCCTAATATATTAAAAGAGAAAACACTATGAAAGTAACCTTTCTCTCATGTAATATTAATAGAAATGCCATGTTGATGTGTCAGCACCATGTTCATTCTCAAGACAATTATAAATTAAGACAAACTTTACTAGACTAATTACATTCTATGCCATTACATTATTTTTGTTATTTGGTTACCAACAAAAAAACATAAAATAGCTAACCAAACTTATATGATATATTAAACAACAAAAGCTATATATTAAACAAAGTTTCTAAAATTTCATGATTCAAATACTGACACAAACATTCGGATTTATTTTTTAAAAATATTTTTTTCAATATATTAAGTATTTGTGAACATATTTATTTTTCTGTTAATCTTTTTCAAAAATAATTTAATCATAAAGATATTTTATTTTTTAAGATATAATTTAATACAAACTTATAAATTCATTTTAAAGTGTTTTAAAAAAAAATAGAATATTGACACAAATATTCACATTTAATAAACAATTAGCTATTTTCAGCATATTATTTGTGAACATATTTCTTTAATATTTTACGCCAAAAAAAATATCATTTTAAATATCAATTTTAAATAGAACCAAAGGTAACTGATACTAATATAATTCACATTTATGAGTCAAACTTACGGTTACCATTATTAAGACATAATGAAAATTCGTTTACATTCACTTAAGTAAAAAACAATTATATCGACAATAAATTAGCAGTAGTTTATGGTAACTAATTAATTGATTTTCGAAAATTCAAACCAATTTAATTATAATTTGAGATGAGGGAATCAATCAATTCTTAAATTAATTATTTTCTATAAGGACAATAAAGTATGAGTAATTTATGGTAACATATTGGTATAACTGAGTTTTGTGTAAAGTCAACCAATTTAACAATAAATACAGATTTTCACTAGACCATAAATTTGGAAGATTGTTTCAAAATTTTTTTACAATAAACTTCATCCCGCGCAAGGTGCGGGTCAATCCATAGTTTTCTTATAAAAAGAGAAAATGTAATTGGTTATGAACTCGGCACTATACTAATTACTAACACATACATAAAATAAAATTAAAAGAATAATGTATATAACATCCTCCTTTGACATGTGCTAAACCGAAGTCCACAAATTTGTTCTTGGCAGCCTCCGTCGCAAGTTTCTTGCCGGCATCGACAACAGCCTTCACTGCTTGTTTGTTGAAATCATACATTTTGATTCATTATTCATTACATTTTTTGCATGTATATGAACTAAAACACGTTTTACTTTATGATAAATACTAGCTTACTTTTAACAACAACAACAAAAATTACATACAAAACAATTTTGCATGTACTGCACAGTGCACACTTTTGTTCATGTGGAATTCTTACATTTGAAATATTGTAAGAAACTATACATATCTGAATTTCTCTAAAATTATATTGGTACTTATGTAAAATCTGGAAAAGACATTTTACAATGACGCATGGTGTGTATTCCATCAAAGTCACAAAATAAATAAAAAGGTTTTATGTATAAGAATAGAAAATTAAAAGATAAAGTCATAAATAAAACTAATAGAAATTGCACATAAAACCATACTAATTATATAACACGCCGCAACAGCCAAAGAAAATGAGAATTTGGTTATATTAATTTTGTTTTGACCAACGAATGAATATCAACATATCTTAATGTGGGGTTTGTTGGTTTCTCTCTTCTAGACAAACTGCTTTATACAACTATACATTTTCTTCTACCTTAAACATTCTTTGGTCCGAAATTCTTTTTGACCTCTTGTATATCATCATCGTATTCATATGATTTTGGAGCATACATCCACACAACAGCAATGTATTATGTATAGTTTAGGCAAATACAACAAGCGACAAACAATGGCTTACACCACAAAGACCAAGCAAAGTTATTTACATCACAGAAACAGACTGTACAACAACAACAAAAAAGGAGAGCTATAAGAATAAACAAGCAGTAAGTGAGTGAGTGACTCAGAACAAAAAGAGGCAGAGGAGAATGCAGCAGAGGAAGAAGATCGATACCCGATGCATATATTTCTCTACCTGCAACATCCTCTGATTGCTGCTCCCACTGATGATGGACCGCCGCGCGTTTTCGTAAGGATGAGCCAAAGCAGCATTCGTAAACGTTCCAAACATCCTCGCGTAAACCATGTCCCCAAACATTCCAATCACAGGGTACAAGAAACTCATCATGACTGCATTGGCTAGATCAGTCGATGACTCCGTCGCAGTGAAGTGACGAGGAGACTGACCTTGATGGTGATGATGATGATGATGGTGATGGTGCAAGCTCGGGTTGAGAGATGAAGCTGAATGGATAAGGTTGTTTAAAGGGGACGAAGTGGGTCTTTTGGGTATCATCGTAGCTTCTGAAGAAGAAGAAGAAGAAGTCATGCCTCTTCCGTAGAGAGGAACTAACGAGCCGATGGAGATGTTGGATTTGCAAACAGGGCAGTTTTGGTGTTGGATGATGGAGACAGGGGAAGATTTCTGAACGTCTAGCCATCTGTAAATGCAAGGCCAGCAAAAGAGATGTCCGCAGAGAGTGACGACTGGATCATGCGCCGTGTCTAGGCAGATGTTGCAGTCGAAACAGCCATGATCGTCAGAGTGTAGCTCCTCCGTTGGGAGAGTGACGAGATTTGGCGGCTTTTGTGTTAGTACGTAACCATCACCATGATCAAATCTGAAGAAGGTTCCTTCCATGAATATCCTGATTCAGTGAATACACACAATAAGGTCATAAGTTAACAACTATCACTCTCACAAGAACGGTATGCATAACGTAAAGCATAAGACTTTATGGAGCCAAACGGGCATTAAACTCACTGAAGAGCTCACAAAAATGCAGAGATTTATAATATAGTCATGAATGAGGAAATTCTCGTTTCCAGTAGAATAAAGCACACAACTTTATGAGATCCAAACAGCAATGTAGCTTCTTGAGATTGAAACCAACGAGATGTATTGATAATGTATTAAAACCTAATTAAGCAAGTCAATCACAGATTTGGGAATCAATGAAACTACTATTACGATTCCAAGGCAAGAGTTTTATTCAAATTTGCAATTTCCTCCTATACTCTTGGAGAATCAAAAACTTTACCCAATTCAGTTTTCCTAAATCCAGAAAATTGGATGAAAACGGATACTTCCGGAGCTGGAAAACCCTCAGATTACATTCATCAGAACTCGTGATTGACCTAGACGGAAAATCAAAGAAACCAATAACCACTCGAGAGAATTTCAGAACTTACCGTATCGAAAGAGATGAAATGAAGACGACGACGATTGATAAAAAAACCTCGGAAATCGCGAAGGAGAAGGCGGAGTCGGAGAGATCTCAGGGATTCGAAGATTTTGAGAGAGAGGTGATTTACGCGTATGCTTAATAATGATGATGTTGATGTTAATGACGACCACGATAATTAACGAACAGCTTCTTCTTCGTCTTTTAGCTTACACCACATTTAAATTATTTGATAAATATACGGATGAAAAATATCCTAATTGATAATGATTGAAAGTTTGAAAACTGAAACTAAACAAACAAACAAAACAAAATGTAAGTGTAAATTTAAAATTGATAATAACTAAATTGTTCAATAACATTACATAATTTTTAGACCCTACTCAAAACTGATGGTAAATTTTTCTAATTTGTTACAACAGCACTAGATCTGTTTTTACCAAATTATAAAAATTTACAGTTTTTCCAACTGAAACCATCTCTCAGTAGCTCCAGCTGAATTCACCATTGCCGGCCGCCGCCGCCTTCTTTCCATTCTTGGCCTTGTTCTTCCGTCGTCTCTTCTTGGAACTCGTTTCTTTCTCCTCCTCTTCATCATCATCAGAAACCACCACCATCTTCTTCTTGCTGCTCTTCTTCTTCTTCTTCCGAGAAGACTCTTTCGTCTTGCTACCAGGAGTCTCTACAACTAGAGGAGTTCTCGGGAACGAACCTTCTTCCTCTTCCTCGCCGAGATCCCAGTTGCAGAATAGCCCGTTTTCGTTACCCTGCATCGGCAACGGCTCTCCTGCTCCGGGAAGCAGGCTGTTGAAAGTCACGTCACCGTTCTTCCCTCCTTTGCGCTCTAACAGAGTCCGGTCCGGTCTGATTATCGTGCCGAGGATGCTTCGGTTTGGTCCTAACGCTAGGATGGATTTTGCGTTTGTTAAAGTAGATAAAGCCATTGCAAAGGCTGATCGAATCTGTAATATAAAGAAACCATCTTTAATCAGTATATTATAATCATCATCTTGAAAGTTATTTAGAGAAGTGAATAGAGAAACCTGAAAGTAGTTGAATGAGCTCTTGCCAATGTCATTCTCTGGTGTCTGATTATCCAACAAAAAACAAATTAAACCTTTTGTAATATACAATGTATATCGTTTATACGAAACCAGAGATTGAAGAAGCTGACCTGTGGATCCTCGATAGAGATGAGCCCTGGCCGAGCTGGGTTCCAGAAACTGGAGAGACAAAAACGAGAAAGATTAGATCATGACGATGAGAATCAAGTAAAATAATCTCTCCAGTGTCGGTTTTAATTATTACTTACCCTTTGTTGGACTTTGAAAAGAAGGAACCTCCTCTCTTGCAAGATACACCAACATCTGCGGTGTTTAATTTACGCCCGTAAAAATCGAAGAACTTGACCTACAATGTGAGAAAGTTGAAAGATAGATTTTCGATGAAGCCAATACAATCAAAAGCTTTTATTCGGATTGCATTGACAAAAAAAAAAACATACCAATAGAACTCCCAAGTTATGCTCTGGTGGGCTTCGACCATCTTTGAGGTACTGTTTTCATAAAAAGAAACAAAGGTAAGTGAAAGATAATGCCATGACGGTGTGTTGGGGAATATCAAGTAAACACTCTTTCTACCTTGAGAAATGAAATGAGCATTGCGAGAAGTGCATACGAACCAATTCCACCACTGTACACCTGCAAAAGACATTGACGACAAATTTTTGTTTGAATGTTTGGCACTGTGAAGCGAGATGATAGATAGTAGAAAAAGTAGAGTATTTTACAGACCTCATTGAGTTCTCTCTGCTGTAGAAATACTTTCAAGATTAGACATAATGGTCGTAGAGGAGGCAGCCTTAATACAGCATCCTGGAAAATAATCCAATAGTTATTTTACTGAATCGACATGATTATATTCAGCTGGAATTCACAAAAGGTTCTGAGAATAATCTAGGGCAACAAGACCAGATAAGAAATATAATAATCACAAACCTGTATAAACTCAGCTGCCTTTGGTCCATTCTCCATATCAAAACTGCAAAGCCAGTGCCAAACTTAAATAACTCATACTAACTTAATTCACAATTCACATAATCCATTCACACAGTCATGTATGTGTATATCTTTGCTGCAACTACTGAGCTTTCTTATCAAAGCATAAAACCACAAAGCTTTCGTTGAGGTTATTGAATAGGCTAAAATTTCAAAGTTTCTCTGAGAATTTCTTAGAAATCAATCCGCCTACAATCTGAGAGGGAAGCTGGTAGGTAAAGAGTAAAACAATAACCTTAGATCAAATGAAATACTGCTTTTCTTCTCGACAAACTTGATGATTGGTACACGAGCCTTAGCAATCACCTGCACAATGAGAGAGCTAATTATCAGACACGGTCTCTATGAGATACTACCATGTTATAAAGTAAAAAGTCGAAGTTACCAGAATATTCTTCGCAATCCCCCTTTGAGACAATGCCCTGGAGAGTGCTCGTAGACCTAGTTGAGGATTAGTGATACCAGATTCCAAAATGACCACCTTTACACACAACCAAAAGGAAAAAAAAAAAAAAAAAAAAAAAGATTTAGAAATGAATCTTTACAGGCAACTATGAAATGTTCAACTTGTTCTTGTTGTATCTAAGCTCTAAGGCCTTTGTGAAGTTACACCGAACTTCCTTATTCTTCTTGTTACTTGTGATCACATAATCAACCAAACAAAAACAAGTGAAAAGATCACACTTACATCAATATCACTTGTTGGAAGATAAAGTCCAGTCCTGTATGATCCAAAAACCTCAACCTTCAACAGAGAAATAAACATGAATTTAGCTATTACGAATTTGAATTACAGGACATTCACAGAAAGAGAGAGAGAGAGAGTAAACTTGAGGTTGTACCTTGCAATTCGGCCAGATATATTGAATAACACTTCTAACATTGTCCATTGCTGCATCACGCAGCGCTTTCTCTTCTTGTGTTGGTAACAAGAAATCGCAGAAATCTACTATCTCTGCGCAACATCAAACACCGAAACAAGACAAGCTTCTCAACAAGTTTCCACACCGAAAGAGAATCAATTTTTTCATTACTATTCCACTAAGCAATCGAATAAAAAAAAAAAAAAAAAAACTCAACTTTGGAAGGAATTGTTTTTGTTAATACCTTTATGCAATTGAAGCATTGGGATTTTAGAGAAGCTGCTCTCACTAAACCAGTTGTTAGTCTCTAATCTGGGCTCCTCAGCTTCTTTGCCTTTCTTCCTCTTTCTACTCTTCTTCGACGCCACGACCGGCGTTACAAATCCGCCGCCGTTCTCAGTCGCTCCGGCGTCGTCGACGTCCAGCGATAAGAAATCCACCGTCTCTGATTCCACCGGCGTGGTGTCGACGGTGAGATCGGCGATGTCGTTGCGGAAAACGGAGTAGAAGTGAGAATCGCCGAGCGTTGCCGGAGACTGATTCGACGTCGGCGATTGATTCGAGTCTGAGAAGGATAGTGCGGGTAAGGTGTCGTAAAGGAAAGCTGGAGCTTCCATCTTAGCTTGAGACTCCTCCATTGGAGATTGACGGAATCTGAATCTGTGGTTTAGGGTTTCGAATCCGCCGCCGGGGACGATAGACAAAATAGTGTCCGAAAAGAAGAAGGAACCAAAGGGGACCAAAGATAATTAATTTAATTTGGGTGGAAAAAAATGGAAAAAAAAAAGAGATTTTGGAGAAAATTAATTTATAATTCTATTGAGCGAATCATAATAATACCTTTTTAGAAGAATACTAGGTGATTCTCTCGCGCCTTGGAGATTATATTTTTTCAAAAATATTATATTTAGATTTGAATAATTTGATTCACAATTTTGCTTTGTTTTTATTTTATTACTATATATGATTTTATAGGTTTAAATGTTGAGAGAAAATAATGCTTTGGCTGATAGATTAGCGAAAAACGTTTTGGTTGACCTTAATCAGATACTGTTTGAGGGAATTAATGAAAAATCATATTTTGAACACAAAAAAAAAATGAAAAAAAAATATTAGATTATGGTTTGTTACTAACCTCACATTGATCAACAATTTCATAAACATTGAGTTACAAATTTACAATTATGTTGGTATGAGCCTAGACGTTACCTCCTCTATAGATCACAACATCATCTCTTGTATCAATTATGTTGGTATGAGCCTAGACATTACTTGCAGCTATGTTTTACTCAATGTGCATCACATCTAAATTATGTCTTACAGAAAGTTACTAACATATACAAACAAAACAAGACACATGTTAAATAAATATAGTAATATATAGATATAATTTAATAGTATGCGACTTCAATTTCTGACATATACCTCCCAATATGGTATAGATCTTTTCTTTCATCTTGATAACTCTTACTCGTCAATTTCTTGTTCTTGTTCTTCTTCTTCATCATCTGATGCATTGTCTTCGTTTTCATTGTCAGATGTTGTTCCCACAAATGCAGTTCTAGATTGCTTCCTACCATCTTCCTTTTTATTCCCAAAGTCATTCTTGTAATTTTTGAGTAGTAAGGAAATATTTTTCCCCGTAAGTATTCTTCCCTTGATCTCATTCTCAACTTTACCATCAAACCAAGTCTTCTTTCCCCTCTAGGCATGTGTAGGAGGTAGACTCTTCATGTGACACATGTATATGTGTTTTCTGCTATTAGTCAACCACAAGCTGTTTGTGTTCTTTCCGCATATAAGACAACCCATTTTCCTTTTAACTTTGCAGCCAGCAAGGCTTCCATAAGCTGGGAAGTCGCTTCTTCTCAGACCTAAACATTCTCTTAAGGCGCGGGATAATAGGGAAGTACCTTAACACCTTCTGTGGAACACCCTTCTTCACTACACCAGTGTGCTTGTTAGTCATCCATCTCGATGTCATGCATTTCGGACATGTATCAAGTTTCTTGTACTTCTTACGGAATAGACAAGTCGTTCACACAAACATGTATCTTTTGATAACCCATATCAAAAGATCTCAGAAATTTCTTCACATCATAAGTTGATGTATGAAGGACATTATTCTTTGGTAACATGTTAGGCTATGCTTCAAGCAGGTCGTTGAAGCTCTTGTCGGACCACCCATTTTGTGTCTTAATCCTGAATAGAGAAATAATAGCAGACAGCTTGCTATGATTGGTGCAGCTTGGTATAGAGGCATTTCAGCGTCAGCTAGCTTTGCAAGAAATTTATGTTCTCTTTTGTCTTCACCCTCAGCCAACTCGCCTAAGTCGATATCCTTATAAGTCATATCCTCATCTAAGTACTCAGCTGCTTTATATAACCTCAATATCTCATCATTCCACTTATTTGCATTGTAACCTAGTTCAGGACACGGACCTTCATGATGATACCAATCTTTCCGCATCTTGTAAGCCTCATCCATTCCCCTAGTAACTAAATGGTATACTACTTCACTAGACGAATGCCTATTGTTATTTCGACAGTGAGTGCATGGGCATATAATGTGGCACTAACAGCATTCACAAATTCCGAACCCCAGATTCATAAGCAGGATCAACTCTAAAGTTCATGCCAAACAAATAGAAAGACAAATAAAAACTATTATGTTCTGCCTCATTAACAAGTATACTATATCCAAAAGAGTATATAGATAATGTATCTGCATAGATGTACCCATGCTTTATCCAGTATTATATGTAAACCCTTTTAACAACCCTTGTCCCGACATACATGAAACATAATGAATGATTCAAACAGAAGAATAAGGCAAATCAAATAGAAACGGTAAAGAAACTCTTTAATTTACAGACAAATCAAGCACATCAGCAATGAAAATCAAGATAAGTGAATAAATAGGACAAGAAAGCGAGAGTTCAATCTAACCTTCATAAACTGAGAGTTGACCTTTTGTTATTTCTTTCAAAATTTGTCACTTCACTGCAATTGCAGACAGCTGTAACTGCGAGAACATATACACCATCGTCAGTAGCTAATAGAGTCAAACAATTTACCAACTTTCTTGTACAGAAGACCCCTAATTTGATGAGTGAAATTTCGATTTTCATTTTTCCCAAATCGAAGTATACACTAACCCTAATTGATCGAGTGGCATGTGAAATAAAACTACTAGAGACACGAGTGAGAGTGAAACTGAAGATCATTAAACTCATATAACATACATACCTTGCTCGTATTTGAAACTCGAGAACGAGATGTTTTGATTCCAAATAGATAATAGATCTCTTTCCGATCCCAAATCCCTAGAAAATTACCAACCAAAACTCTCTTGATTCCTTCATCCTCTTTGGAAGTTCGATTAGTCAAAGTCAAAACGACATCATTTTGACAATCATATTAATATTTCCTTCTTCGAGGGTTCGAACTCGTGACCTCAATGTTAAGAGGAAGCAAGGCTTACCACTACATTACGCACACACTATTGTAGACTATTACATCTAGCGGTGTCAAAATGGATCCAAATCCATGGATTGATCCAACCCAATCAATCCATCAACCCTAATGGAAACAAAAATTGGATTCTAATGCGTTAATGGTTTTAATGGGTGAAGGATCAAATGGGTTAAGGATCAAATGGTTGGATTAAAATGGATTGATTTGTAATGGGTTAGTGGATAACCATGGTTAACCAATTTTAACCCAATTACTAAACCAAATCTAACATGATTGCATCTCTTTCGCTGAAACCAATTACATCTCGTTCACTCTCTCGATCGATCTCTCTCGGACTATTTCTCCTTTGTTTAATCTACTTTAGTTATATTTGTTTATGGATTATCCATTAACCCATTCATCCATTAACCCAATTAAACCATCTAGTTAAATAGGTAATGAGGGTCAAACCAACCCATTTCCTAAATGGATTGGATTAACCCATCCATTATTATTCAATCCATTAGGATAATGGGTTGGATGGGTTGGATGGGTTGGATTATCCATTTTAACACTCCTAATTACATCCCATATATAATGAAATTGCAGTTTAACAAACCTAACTCAAATTTCTATTTAATTATTTAATTGTTAACCCAAAATAATTCAATTTTTGGATTTAGAAAAAAAACATTAATTTCTAGGAGAAAAACATCATAACCTGTTAATGAAGAAATAAATTATTAACCAATATTATAATTTATATTAAAAACCAATATTCTGATATTATATTAACCAATATTATAATTTATATTAACCAATATTATAATTTATAATTCTTTTAAAATAGTTTTATGAGATTATATTCAATCATTATAAAAAAAATTAGTTTGAATGCATAATTTTATTTATTATCGGAATTTTTGTTGAATTGTTTATATAAATTACATATTATAAATATTTATAATATGTAATTACATATTATAAATATTTATGTAAATATTTTTAATATAAATACTTTTATTTATTACATATTATAAATGGTAGTGTATACACCTTTTGTTTGGAATGTTATCGGTTTTTAATCTATTTTTATATAAATCTATTTTTTCCCAGCTAATCATAAGCCTAACCGATCCGGATTGAACATCTTTTGTTATCTTGTACAAATAAGACTAATGGTCAGAATTATGAAAATAATCCAAAAGAATTTGTGTAAATCTGAATGCCATGAATATGAGAATATCAAATGTTCAAGTCCAGTTCATGGTAAATTCTAGACTGCTTTACGGTTTTATAATTTATACTCCGTATGATATGACACAAAGACATCACTGTCGAAACTAAATAATACATTTATAAGTTTGCATTATATTTAACTCCTTTTTGGTTTTAAGTAGGCATTTTTGAATCAAACAGCGGGTTTGGCCATTTAAGACTCACCGTCAAATTTAAGCACGTTATCCAGGTCAATTTTTGTATATTGCGGGATACATGCCCGATCCTAAGCATGGGCTGAGAGTGCATTTGCATTGGGTTCTACGTTTTTTGACAAAAAAAACTCGTTAAGATTTAAGGTCTTGAAATTTAAAAGTATTGCAAAAAGGTACAGAATTTACAAAAATTATTTGACTATAATTTTATTAATTTTGCATAGGGTCCAATAGCTAGTTGGGCTAGGCCTGGCGGGACAAGTGCATATCTTATTTTTTGGAGGAATGGGTATGGTTTTAAATTTTTAATTTGTAAGTGTTTATCGTTTTGATTAAAACTGTGTGTCGTTTCAATATAAAAGAGAAAAAACCTATTAGGTTTTACTATAAATCCCTAATCGTTTATCCTCACTTCTTCATTCTCTTTCTTTGCTTATGACGGCGGCGATTCTCTTTTTCTAATTCGCTTTGTCTCACATCTCAAACTATAGATCTATCAAATCCTTTATGCAAACCGACTTTCTCTCTCTATGTATCTCGACATGTTTATGCCTCTGTGTTTCTGTCGTCGAATCTCTTTTTCAGTGGTTTCCAATCGACAATAGCTCTCAACAAATCTCTCTCTTTCACCAGGTTTTTCTTCTTGTTACTCTATACCTCTCATATTATCATTAAAGTAGGTAGTTTCAAAATTCAATTAGTAGTATTTTTAAGTATTTGTTGTTTAGAAGATTTCTAAAAATCTGCAATTGAATGTAACTGATTTTGTTTGTTTGGTTAAGTTATGTTCTCCATTAAAGCATTGTTAGGAAATTTCTTGGTGAAAATGAAAGGAAATCTAAGTCTTAATTGTGAATTTCTTGTTGTCTTTGATGTTAACAATTATAATGTGACAAACAAAACAACTTTCCAAGAAAAAAGTAAGTGTTAGTGGGAAATCTGCTTTGGATTTATACCTAAACCATTAGTAGTTATGAAGATGTTTTCAAGTTTAGATGTCTTGAATTTCTGGAAAAAACGATTTATCATCGCTTTGAAGAGTTACCTAGGGTGGCTTCTGATCTTTTAAGCATACATATCATATTAATAGGGTTTGAGTCCTCTTTTAGCATTGGATCACGGGTCTTAAGTACAGAACGTGTTTTCTCTCACAATATGTTCAAGCCTTGATATGTGTTCGTAATTGGCTTCGAGGTTTCGAAGCATATGACAATAATAACACATAATTTGTGATATTCGTAGTTATATTTAGGGTCCGGTTGCGGGAGTTTACTGAAACGGGTGATTGTGGTTAAGAAAATTATTAAGCGGTTTGTACGACTGGTATAACGGTTGAAAATTGATGCATTTGCGGCTTACTTATGAATGGTTCAACAGAAGCGGTTAGACAATAATTTATATATATAATCACATTCTATAACAATAAAAACATCAAAACTACATTATTATGAAAATTATAAAATTAATATTTCAGCATAACTAGTAAGTAAATTTATAAAACTAATATATGTATAATACTTATATTTATTTTCTAATTTCATTAATCTGGATGTGATTTTCGCTAAGAAATGAATTTTTGAAATGATAAATCAGTTTAGATTAAGAGAATTTTAACTGTTAGATTTTTTTGTTTAGATGAAGAGAACATTTATCAAAGAAGTTTTGTTTTATTTAAACTATAAATATAAAATTATGATATGTCTCTAACAAGTATTAACTAAAAATATCAATTTTATTTATTTATTTTATGATTAGAATATCTCTTAATTTTTAAAAAAATATTATTAAATATATTATGGTTTTAAATAAACTAGTTACAACCTAATAATGTTCAGTGGGAAATCGGCTTAGACTCTAATAACTGATGAGTTATGTGAACTTGATATTATTAATGACCTCTTTGAAGACAAATATGGTAGATAGGCAGTAGCTTATATCGTATACCACAACAATTTAACAATGCCAAATACTCATATAATGACACTGCAACCTTGGGATCCCTGGCATGTCACAGAGTTGTAGTGAATGCAGTCACATTTTTCTTCTTAAAAATGTGGCATATATTCACTATAACTCTATATTATGCCAGGAATCCCAAGATCCGCAGTGCTATTATATGAGTAATGGCTGTTGTTGAAACATTGTGGTATACAGTATACGACTGTCCATCAAACCATATTTGTCTCCAAAGAGATCGTTGATGATATCAAGGTGAGGAAACTCATCAGTCATTAGACTCTTTATGCCGTTTTCCCAAACTGAACATTATTAGTAGGCCTGATTAGTTTAATTGATGCGGTTGAGGATGGAGGAGTTTGCATAAGTGGACGGTTATGGTTAGTAGCGTTAAACGGTTAGAAATTGGTGCGTTTGTGAGATATTTGTGACTAGTTAACTTGTAGATGCAGTAGCGGTTAAACAATAAATTAACAATACAAACATATTTCATAATTATAAAATATCAAAATATATAATTTTAATAATTTATAAAAGTAACTAATTCAATGTAAAATCATTTGTAATACCTATTCTATTTTCTCTAAATTGGATGAAGTTATAATTTTAATGGAAAAAAATATTTATTTTGTGAAGATTAATGTCAAATATAAATTCTTTGGTTTGTTAAATTTTTATAAGTTATAGAAAAAAAAATTTATATTTATCTAGAGAACTTTTGTGTAAAAAATTAATATATATATATATATGTGGTTAGTGAATATTAAGTAAAAACAGTCACCATTATAATATTAAAATATTATAATATTTTGATTTTTAATAATACTTTTAAATATTTGTTTGTTTTCAATTTTGCACGTGCAATTGCTTGCAATCACAAGCTTCTTGGAAGCAGCTTTGAATTTGAGAGGATTGGAGCGTACGAAACGTAAAAGCCATTTTCCATCATTGTTCTCAAACACTAAAAGCCGTTATCACTTGCACATGCAATGTTTGCGGGTGATAGTGAGTGAACCAATCAATACCTATGTCTTGTTGTTTAGATATCTGTTTAGTACGTTAATATATATATATATATATATAACAAAATTACTTTAATTTTAATTTGTTTGTCATATATGACGGGTGGCGGGTTACCCGCTAGACCGGCTTGATTAATTCAGAACAGATGTGGGTATCAAATATACAATCTATAGGTCAAGTAGGTTCCCTTTTTTAAGATCAATTTAAGATCAATAAATCTATACATATTTCATCCGCTTGATTAATTCGGAGCGGATGTGGGTATCAAATTTTCATGTTTTGCTAATAGATATTGGAATTTAATTTTATTGAAGCAACAAAAGTATTAGTGTTGCGACTAGACTTAAGAGATTTGAAGTTACTTTATATTGTTCCAAATGCGAATTGAAAGCTTTTAGATTGTTATTACGACAATTCTGTACTTCTAAGTGTGAAGTACGTGTTCACAAACACATTTTGAAGCTGAAGAGGACGTTATGTTTTCTACTGAAATTACTTCTACAAACATTTTCTTTTTTTTTTGATAAAAAAATTTCTAATTCTACAAACTTGTATCTTAACTTAATATGTATATGTAAATATCACTCTCTTCTCAGTGGCAATGAAGACGATCTGGAGAGTGGTTCCATAGGTTCTGTTCTCGTTGCTGAGGAAATGGAGACACAAGGCCGAAGAAGAGGTGTTCCAACTCTACTTGAAGACTCATTAGGTACAGAAACAGAAGCAGCACTACCACGAGGTTGGATAGGCTGCAACTCAAGCTCAACACCTTGTTCTTGTTTATGTTCTTGTTCTGAATAAGTGTCAGCAACATCAAGCACCTGATGATCATATTCTTCAATAGACGCAACCGTGCTTGTCTCTGTTCTAACAGTCGAATCGTCGCCATAAAACCCGTGTCTTCTCTTCTTTCTGGTCGCTTTACCCCAGCCGTGAATCGTGTCTCTTATCCTCTGAGGTATCAGAGCCGCTTTGTAGTTTGTTCCCATCTGTAGAATCAAAGAGATGATGAACACAATCCATTATCCTCTGAACAGAATCTATCAAAAAGTCGAACAGACTTTCTCAATTGTACCTGAGCGACTAGTGCATATAGTGGCAGTGTGCTATAGCTGCATAGAAACTGTCCAGCAAAACTACAACGAGGAAACCAAACTTATGAGACAAATGTAACAACAGTCTTTAGGCAGGAAGAAAAAAGGTTTCATTACCCTAATATAAGTCGGAAGTAAAGAAGGAGATGATTCTTGAGGAAGCAAGAGTTGTAACCAAACTGCCACTGAAGAAACAATCAAGAACAAATGTATTGTAAGTCCACAAGAACATGCCAAAGATCAATGTAATGTATGGTTTGGTTCATTGGTCATACCCAGAACCAGAAGAAGGAAGCTAGTTCGAAAGAATTCTGTTGGAGAGACCAAAAAGAAATTAGCTGTCAGTTTACCAAGACTGGTTCGATGAGAAGGATGGTGTTTAAGTAAAGAAATTTGCAAACCTGGAATAGAATGAAGTGGATGAGTGACAAGAGAAGCTCTGGTTTATTGAACCAGAAGAGTTCGTCACGAGGTCTCAGCTTCACTCCGGAAGGATATTCTGTTAAACCAGCGTTCTCCAATGCCAAAGTTGCTATTACGTGTTGCAGCTTGGTACCAACCAGAAGAACAAGCTGGTCAAAAATAAGAATGAAACTTTTTCCTAAACCTGCCATGTTTCGAAAACAGAAAGCGAGAAAGATTGAAATGATAGTTCTTACTGTTACAGGAATGATTGCTATCCAGAAATAAAGATTTGATCCTGCAATATCAAGATGGAAGATTTACAAAAATAAGAAATCTTAAAATATGATCATATCTGTGTTTTGGTTTTACTCATCCATACCTTTTATGTTAAAGAGCATGAAAGCAACTACAAACCCCCAAAGCGGCCCACTGCAGAAGATCATTGAAGCAAAACTATTCAGTCAATATATCATGCATCCTTTTTTATCCAATATTAGTTTACCTCACACCAACGATTCTTTGGAACTCTTCTTCCATAGAACGAATCATGTAGCTGTGGAAATCGTACTTCAATGTGAGGTGGTGATTCTGCTCATACAAGAAGAAGAAAAAGGAAGCAAAGCACCTATTATGTATAGTTTTAAGTTTGTAACATCGAAAACGAGAGTGGAAACAGCAAAAACATTCATATATATATATGGCAATAGAGAGTATCATCACTCACCACAATGAATCCTTTTCGGAGAGTAAGATAGTCAGAACGAACAACAGAATGTCCAAATTGCCGGAAGAAACACGTCTGCAAAGCATAAAACAGATTTGATGATCTAATTAAACAAATGACTCAAAATTATTATCATCAAGCTTTCTAGAGAAAGGAAGTGAAGAAAATCTTACCACCCATATAAGCAATCTGTTCTTGGCAAGAGGAGCAGTTGTATGATACTGCACAAAAGTTGTTTGCCTTCTGAATACTTTCTCCCTCGCCACAGCTGCCACAAAAAGAAACACACAAATTATCATCAATCTTTTCTCACTGGAGACATGGACACTTGTTAACAACATTATGAGATTATGCCACTGTGAATAAGTAGTAACAGCACTTTAGTGCTCACCAGTTAAGCAATCGTGTCGATCCATACGAGCTAAATCTTCCCAGATCCTCCAACTATGAATCTGTATAGAGAAGCAGACCAAATGTTGATAACAGAGTTTCTTCACAGATGAAAACAGAGAAAAAAAACACACTTTCAAACACCAAATCCCCTGAAATTGCTTATACAAGAAGTTGTGGAGCAGCTGAGGGAAAAAAACGAAACTACCTTGACGATTGCAAGGAGCATGGTCAAGCAGCTGTAAGTGACATGTGTAACCGCCATTATAAAGATGAAGCGATGCAACTGTTCAAGACCTTCGTATGAAACAAACGGCTCATGCCCCTGCAAGATTTGATAAATTTAGTCACCTAACAAAGCAGATTCTAATGCTAATGGTTCTAAAGATTTCAATTATTTGAAGTTACCTCGCTGCAAGTAGCGTGGTTAATGTCTTCCAGTCTTCTTCTAAAGATGTTGAAGAAGAGGGATTTGGATAAAAGATTCCGTTTGATGACAGATGAGTCGCTTGAACTTTCAAGCTCCTCTTGGATCTCGGATCTTGTACAAGGAACAAATCTGTCGTTGTAGAAACTTGAAGGGACGCATATGTTGGCTATTGTGCTAGAGGTAGCTGTGAGAAGAAGTGATATGAAGCCAAGCAGCATCAACTCTGAAATTAACATTATACCAATTTAGGAAACAAAACAAAACACAATGATCATTAAGTTTTGGTTTTATCAAAGAAGAAACCTTCTTTCATCTTCTCCAGTGCAGCTAACATAGGTTTCCTCTTTGTCTTCCTCAACCACTGAGAACAAAAGGAGAAAAGTTAGAAAGGTTCAGGATCATGAAACAGATGATTCAATGGAGGATATATATATATACTCACAGTGCTAAGGCGATAAATGGCGCGCTCAACGATCAAAGAGACAACAACGAAGACGGTTAAGACAATAGCAACGGACCAAGTAGGCGATAATGCCAAAGATCTCTCATTTGACTCTGCTTCGTTTTCTTCTCCTTCTCCCATTTCTTTAATCAGATTTCTTCACTCAGAACGCAATTGTTCGGCGACGAAAGCTTCAAACTTTGGAAACTTGAAAAACGAAAATCACATCATTTGAAACTAGATATTTAAAGCCCAAAGCTTTGATTTAAGAACCCATCGAGCTTTCTCGAAGAAGTAACAATCGGAATCTCCAATCAGTAGGGGATATCTCCGAAATCTGATTTGGCTAAGAAAAGCTGAGATTCTACTTCGATCGAAACCCAGAAATTTTGAAACTTTTTTGGTAAGATTTTTGAACTCAGATGAATTCGGAAAATCCCACCGTTCTGTAACGCGACGGCTGTAAACTTCTCTCAGACCGATCACCGGAGCAAATGAGATTCAATACAGGTCGTTGAGAGAGAGAGAGAGATGAAATGTTTGCACAAGGAAGAAGACGAATTTGAATTGTAGAAATCGAAATTAGTAGTATTTTTCACTGTAGAAAATCTAAAGACGTTCATGTTCATATGGTTTGTGTAAAGTCAAATAAAATCAAAATTGCTTATTTTTTAATTTTAAAATAGCCGACCAAAGGAGGAAAGGCAGAGCGAAGATTCGACAGATACCGGAAAAAAGCTTCCCCACATGATATGATACTCTCACTTTTTCACTCAGACTGGGGCCCACTTCTTTCTCACTATTCTTTTTATTTTATTTTTCATTTGTATCAATTATCAGTTTTTGGGTTCTATAGTTTTTTAAGTTTATGATTGATGGCAAAAATTAGAAAAACAAGGATCAAATTTACATCGAAATTGAAAAAAAATAAAATACGAGATACAACTACAACTATTTCTTTTTTAAGTAGAAGAAAGTTAATTAACCAACAATAATGACGATTAGATAAGCTGTCCAGCTCTTTAGGGAAAGTTAGCTGGAACTGTAATAAATGCATCGGAATATGTGGTCTTGAAATTCACGTTAAATTTGTTGGTTTTTGTTATTACTTCGTTAAACACACTGAAAATTGTTAACAATTCTAGTGCTGTGTCAAAAGTGACGTAATCGCTTGCATGGACGATTGGGGCAACGTGTGATTTCCATGAAAAAGAGAAAGAAAAAGGGGAAAATCCGCAGGAGATTTCGACGAGGGCTCCACATTAGTCTTACTTCTCGTTATACAACTTTTTCAAATTTCAAGTACAGAATTTAAAAGGCCATACGTGTGCGTGTATGCCAGCACAGAACTGAAGAACAGAAATAGAATATTCGTTTTGCTCTCCTTTTTTACCTTTTTGTAGTAACGTAACAATGCAGTTAGATTTTTTCTGGTTCTTTACTCTCGTGATAGCATCATAGCAATGATTTTAGATGAGACTTTGTTTTATTATGATGAATTAAGTAGGTTTGTTTAAAGCATTATGTAAGTGCTTCACAACTTCCAAACTTTATCAGGCATAGCCGTAAGTATTGAAAAATTGTGCTTCTTAGCTAGATCATCAAGATTAGAGTAGAATATGGCTGAAGGCCAACTATCTATTCGCTATCTATGACTATCTCTATGCACCCAAAACTATCGTTGTTAAATTCTTATCTTTTGCAAGAATACTACAGTTGTCCAACTCTGTTTTGTCGGGTTTAGAAATTTCTAGTGTGGATCATATTTATATTGACAGAGAGATGCTCGATGTGTGAAGCCAGGCCCAGTCTGAGGAGAGGCCTAGCTAGCAAGCATGAGCTTAATGTAGCAATATATTGTAAAACATGCATTACAGTAGTGGTGTAAATCCCCTTTACAATTCTTTCCACAATGAAGGGTTAAAATCCACAACATGCACATTTTTCAAAAAACCCTACATGATTTTGTTAGCCATTTCCCGACTAAGTAGGTTTCTGTTTTCTATTTCTGTTTATTTACTATAGCATGAGTTGTTTATTTGTAAGATCTTGGTAGGTTACACTTGTTCGTTCAATTTCATTTAGTAGGAAAAGAAAACATCGAAAAGGGTTTGGCCACGTTTTTCGGATCTTCAAAGAAAAAGTCTTGTTTGAAATCAACAATCGAATGGTTCATGGACAAGATCGATGTCGTTACTAACAGAAAGGGGTATATCAAATACAATTCTCCACATTTGGGGCCGGTTTACAACGCAACAAAATTTATAGTTATTAATTATTATGTACATTTTATATTTATGGGGTCCAAAATACAAAACAAAACAAAAAGGTCTTTGTTGGTCGAATCTTTTTTTTAGTAAAAATTGTTGGTCCTATTTTTGGGAGATCGATCATCAGGCACATGTATATAGATCCCAAGAAAAAGTTAACTATGAAAAAAAAAACGAATTTTTATATAATGTTTCGTGATATTTATATTCTACGTTTCCACGACTTCGTGGAAATTGTGGAAGCAAATGACAATAGAAACAAAATGGGATTTCCCTTTCCGAGCTAGTGTCCTCAAACTGTAAGTTTTCAAATGATTTCGTTTTTTTCATGACTTACGTATTTGCAAATGTTCATCTAAGTGAATAACCGAATCATTTCATTATTCGGTTACGAGTCCTTTTCGATAAACGTTTCTTGCCCATCACATTTGCGTACGAAGTTAGTCGTGAAAACTTGTACATCTGTAACACCCATAATCAGAATCTCACTTTTCTTGTAACTCATCAACTTAAAATACAGAGAAAGTAGAAGTAATTAGAAGCGAATAGATACAACTCAATACCTAACTCAGGCCTACGAAATATATCAGGCTATATATATGCATTGTTCTTCATTATATTGAACACCATTTGGATTTTTATTGAATATGCCAATATATAGATACCTTAGATTTCTCTATATATGACCTAGATAAATAATGCTTAGATTAGTCATATGACTCATACCCCTATGATACATATATATTGCTATCAAACAAACAGCCTTTAATTATTCAACCAACTTTCACTCCTGTTTTTAAATTTTAAGTAGTCAACTTAACAATCAAAACGAGACAAAGACGCACGAGAACCCATTATTAAATCACATATTAATAGAACATGTACCTAATGCAGTGGACGATTTTAATATCACGTGGCTTTTGACCCGCGGCGTTAGCAGCAAGGTGTCCAATTTTCAAACCAAATCTCTGCCCATACTGTATATAGCCATATTTCAAAATTGTACTAGCCAAGTAGTGTGTGTGTGTGTGTGTGTGTGTGTGTGTGTGTGTGTGTGTGTGTGTGTTTTGATTAAATAAACAAACAAAATTAAAGTCAATTGTCAACTAAAGAGAATCAATCTTTCATTTTCTTCAATCCACATTACCTACTACAACTTTTGTTTCTAGTTGTTCATTTTGATTCCAATATGTCAGTCTTGCAAAGTTCTTTAGAGATGAAATCACAACATTAGATTTTCAGTAATTTAGTTAGACGTGACACTCATCAAGTTTTGCATTCTCTTAGCATTAGACGTGAGTCCCAAACTGCAGGTGAAATACTTGGTCTAACCTCCACATTTTTACTGATTCAAGTTGTTCACCCTAAAATATACATATTTTAACACAAAAACTTGAATAATTCCGTTGAATAGTTAACGTTTTAATTCTTAACATAGGAACAATCCATCAAAAATGAACAGATTTATCTCCATATGAAAAAGGTTATGCAAAGTCAAGAATAATGGAAAATTAAAACATGCAAGAACTAAAACTTCTTGGTAAACAAGAAGGAAAATTATGCAAAACCAAAATATTCCAGAACTTTTGTCTTATGGCCTCTTAACACCAAATCAAAATCCTAAACAACAAGTTTTATTTTGTTGTTGCTAGGTTTCAAATCAATAATGTCTAACAAAAATCAAAATTATCATTCAAAAAACCCCTAAAAAGCTTCAAAATATCAACAAAAGTGACCATACCAATCAAACAACCATCTTCATCAGTCACCCACACATAACTCACCCTCTGAGTAACCGCCTGAATCATCACCGCCATCAACGAGCTCTTCCGGTTGCACACTATCGCCACCGACTTCCTCGCATTCCTCGCCGCGCTACTCACCGACCTCCCGTACGAAGACGACCTCGTCCTCCCCGCCGGAGACTCTTCGTCGGAAGAGGACGAACACCCCGACAAGGAATCGACGAGCGAGATCAACCCCACCATCGCTTTCTCTTCCAGAAGATTCCTGACGTATCTGACGAGACTCTCCGGCGGACCGCTACCGTCGATGTACGTCATCAGATTTCCGGCAGAGAGTGTCGCGACAGCTGCCGCGGCGGTCTCGTCGCAGCAAGCGAGTGTCATCGGCGAGATCTCCCCGATTAAAGCCACGCGCGGATCCTCTAGATCGCATCCACCGTCGTCGACAACCGCGACGGAGATATTGTCGGAGATGGCGCGGGAGATCGCGGAGACGGCGGATGCGGCGGGGGAGTAGTAATCGACGGCGAGGATAGTGTGTGTGCTGTTGATGATGCCGAGATCGGAGATTGAAATCGCCGGTAGAGGAGAGAAGACGCTGATGGAGTCGAGAAGGAATCGGATGATGTCTTCTTGTGTGATCCAGCAGAATTGGCGGCCATTCTTGTGTGTGGTTGTGGTTGTGGTGGTGGTGAGTGAAGCGACGGCGTTTCGCGTCAGGAGCTTCTGTTCTCTTCTTCTCGTCGCGATTGATTTCGTCTGAATCGGAACAATCAGATTCTGCGCTCCTCCGATTATCAAATCGATTGCTTCAATTAATCTGAAAACAAAATCAAAATCAAACTTTTAACAGAAATTGAGAAACCCAGTTAATGTGTTGATTTTAATATGAAATGGCGACGTACGTGGAGGAAGCATCGACGTGGACGACGGTGGATTTGGGGAGGAGAAGAACAGAGACGGATGCGTCGAATGCAGAGGAGAGAGACAAGACGTTGTTGTCGAATTTAGAGATGTAACAGATCACATCAGCCATACAGATCTTACCCAGACACTCGCAGTCGCACTTGTTCTTGTTGTCGTCGTCAGCATCGGTTTCGTCGTGATTACAGCTCCAGACGCTGAGGAAAGGCTCGTCGGAGGATTTGAGGGCGGCGATGGCGTCAGCGACGGTGGCTACGGCGGCGGAGAGACAGCGTAGCGGCGGTTTGCCGATACATATGTCGGATATCTCGTGAGACAAGAGGGATAGTGCCATACAAAGAAGAAAGAGAGCAAAATTGGTTTCGCTTGAAATATCAAGGAGACGGAGAAGAGCGAGGTTATAAAGAAGAAGAAGAGGTGTAAAGTGCATAGAGAAACTTTGGGCCACTTGGTCCATGGTTGTGTACAGATAGATTTTTTACCTTTTTCTGTTTGTTGTGTTTTTAGTACAGGTGGATTTGTTTTTACTATAATGTTTGGAACTTAATCTAAAATATACTAAAAACATTAATGTTTCATTTGCTTTGTTTTTATTAATTTTTTTTGTAGCATAGACAAAGCCATTACTTTGGACAAACAAAAAGTACTTAGATATGCTTGGATCTTCAAAAAAAAACTTCCACTAACCCTTTAATATTGGAATATTCCGGTTGAATTCAAGATTAATGTATGAAATTATGACTATCTTATTCAACAATGAAATCAATTATACAGTACATTGTGTAGAGTCCACACGCACTCTACTCTTTTATGCATCAAAATCAAAACAAATACTTTTCTTAGTCTAATTTCTATTTTGGTCCCTTTCCTTCTCCCATAAGTCATATTTAAATGCTAAGTGTATGATGAACATATATAGAAGTAAAGATGTATGAGATATGTATGACTTATATAAAATAATATTACATGTCCGTTTTACATTGTACGAGAGGATATTTGTTGTTCTTAATTTTTGTTCATTTTTTAACAAGGATATTGCATAGTAGTGTATATCTTTTGATTTAGTATACGCTATCATGAATGTCTACATTTTAATATAGCGTAGATACATCATTATAGATCTTTGTTCATACTCGTTTTAGTTCTTGGTTTGCCTCTTCGAAAAATTGTACTGTCTCTACTCTCTAACGTCGGACTCTATACTTAGATTGTGTGGATATTCATCGTATGATGCGAGGCATTAAAACATCAATTAGAAGAGACCAAACTCTCCTCGTATGTTTACCAAACTAGCTAATAGAGAATCAACGAAGCCAAGATTGATTCTCAACTCAATCTATATTCCGTTCAGGGGCAAAGCTATATGAATACAAAGGGCAAATGTCCCCGATGTTTAAATCTAAAATATTACGACCTATGAACTGTGGATAGGTGTGATCCAACAACTTGTAAGAACAGACAAAAGGTCCTTATTCGATAGTTATGTGTATATAAAATATAGTGAACTATATGTTATTTTTTTAAAGGTACGATAATGGAAGATTTATATGATATCTTACATACGTTTTCCAAGATCTATATTATTGGTCGTAACCAATGATATGATCAACTCCTATAGACCTATAGTATATATATTTATGTGATTGTGATATTTGGAAAAAAAAAATGCAAAAGGTGCACTTTTGTCGCTTTTAGTCAGTACTTTTGAACTTTAATTTAACTTTTATATAGTCCAACGTGTTATCATCTGATTGGATTGCGAGTTTTCTTATGCCCTTCACGTTTTTCATGCTCAGTAAAACACACTCACCGCTACATACGTACACTTATATGAATATTTGCATAAATTTACCAGGGAAATTTGGTTATTCCTCAATCAACGATATCTTAGAAGGATAAAACGTGAATTTCTTCGCTTACATTACATTTTAATCCCCAAATATATATATGTTTATATATACATACATATATATATATATATATCTATACCTGTTGACTTAATGTTATGAATTTATGAGTTATGATTGATTAAGCCAAAAAGATGTAAAAACTAAAATAACTAATTTGGCCTAGTACTCCCAAAATAAAATTTAGAGAATATATATTCAGAACTCGTACCATCGTCTCGCGTCATGTCGGTTGAGGTTACAAAAAAAAAACACGTTTTCGTGTTTCAAAAAGTGGTACGTCATGGAACAAGTTGGCCAAGTTTTGTAACATGTTTGCTACTAGTAAGTTATTTCATTTTCTTAGGTATGTGATATTAATATAGTATCCCGATTTGTTTAGAGCATGCATGCCTTTTAATATATTTATGTTTTTTGTAATAAAACCCCCATCAATTCGTTAGTTTTAAATTTGAAATATCCTCGACCCTGGTTAACAATTTCACTTCGAGTAGCGTTCTATTTTAATTTTTGTCCCACGGTATATATTGTGCAAGGGTAATGTAGTATATGATAAACTCATTCTTTCTTCTCTTTCTAAGATTTTGATTTTTCTTCTCTTTCGAACACATTACCCAACTATGTAAAATGTAATAACGGCTACCTAACATTTAACTGGGCTTAGAGCGTACGGCTCATGTGTTTAACAGAAAAGATCTTTGTTGTTCAGGCTTACAAGAGCAACACATTGTTTGATTCCATGAGCTTTACACGTCCTGAGAATCTAGAGGCTGCAATCCAGAAAAATAAATATGCTGTTGATTAATATTATTAAGTTTTTTTTTTTAATATAGGTATAATGTGAGATTCGAACTCACCACCTCTAAACCAAGTGAAACTAGAAATAACAATTCCTTCTAATGATATTTTTTTTTGTAAAACCTAGGGCCAAAATCTATATAAGGTTTTCTCTATAGAATTATGGGTCACAAGCCCAAGCTTGCTTTGCTTGGGCTCAGAGCCGGCTCTGCACGAAAGGATGTGTATAATTGTGTAAATGAGATGTATTTATTATTCCACATCGTTTACACACAAAAATATGACCGGAAAATATCAATAGAAAAAGAGAAGTGAAGAGACCAAGAAAAATACTTACCTGGACGGGGTCAACTCTTGATCAAGAAGAAGAGTGACCTAAGCTAGTGACCCCCATTGCACATTAAGGAGGGGTGCTTAGCTTAAGGTCTCCCTAAATGGGAGAGCCTGCGTCATTATTTGTGGCAGAGGGGACCAGCGTCCACGCAGTCCCTACCATCATCAATGTTAATTATATACTGTTTTTTGTTTTGATATATTTTGTTAAGAAATGTTGATAAACAGGTTTGTTTTTCTGGGGCAGAATAGAAGTCCCAAGTGCATAAGTTTGTAATAGTGTATATTTTGTTAAGCCCCACATCGGAAGAAGAAGTAAAATTCAGAGACATTGTTTAGGTATAAAAAGAGGTGGCTTTCGTTTATTAAAATTCATCTTTGCGCTTGGGGCAATGATGCAGCTAATGAGGTACTAACCGAGGCGCGTCTATTGCTGGTTGAAAACTATTTCCAAACCCCCTCGAAGGCCTAAGCTTGTCTTGGGCCTTCGAGAATTTCTGGAAGGACTCCCTTCGGGGTAAAGCCCTACAAGGCTTAGTTCAATCTTACTTTGTCAACAATTTTCAAGTTCAATCTTTTTTCTTATGTCAGTACTTAAGACCTAGCTTAGGACAGGTGGTTGGTTTTGTCTACAATATACTAGAATGTGTAGGGACTGCTTCGTTTGAATTTTACACAACGACAAGAGTACCCTAGTGCTTAATAAACCGGAAGCTTCATTAGTTTATTGGTTTGTTGTCCTCTTCGGTAGAGGATCACTTGTCTAAGAGTGTTATGCATATATCTATCTACTATCATGAAGATGAAGTGCGTATATTTAGTTTTTGCTAATACATATCGATTCATTGCAATTTGCAAGTACCTTCTTAGTAAAATGGAGAAAGTTAATAGATATTGCATGATTTTAAAAGGTACTATAACTTACTTAGAAGCTCCTAGCCTAGATCATTTTTAAAAATAAATCTGAAACATTTACTATCCAGACTTGTTATTCTTTCAAATTTACAGAGGGTATTACTTTTTCTCTTAGTCTGTATTAACATGAACAAATGTTTCTTCTGTTACCTATTGGTGGTCTGTTCTCACTGGGTGAACACTATAGTGAAGAACAAACTTGATGCATATTCATTTTTTGGTCACAAATAGAATAAGCCAACTACTAGCTCAGCTTGATGTAGGCTTTAACGATGTCTTCTCATTTATTTGTTTCTCATACTCTGTTATTACTTAAGCCAAGCCAAGTCAAGTCAAAGGGTTTAAAATCAGAGGCAGAGACTTAACGTAATTAAATAACTTTGATCTTGCTCCGATGGTGGTTCAGTGATGGTAACATCAAGCCAAAATCTCGAATATACCAACCCATCAAATATCAAATGCTTGAGATCCCACATCGGGTACATTACTCAGGAACGCTGAAAAAAACTCGATTACAAATAAGACGCATAGCTTTGAAATTAGATTTACGGAGCCATGCAGTGAGAACAAAGCGAACTATTCTTTCGCCTTTTACTAAAGAATACCGTGTTCTCTCTGCACTTAAGCGGCTTACGCCTATTTTTGGAGGGTTTTGAAATAAACAAAAAAACCCCATCAATCCTTGAGTTTGAAATTATAATATATGCGGATATTAAAGATTCCGTTAACTATTAACTCTTGCTTTACATTCAACTCTTAATATATATGCAAAATATTTGACACTTACTATTTACTAAAGGGTGTAAATGGGTTTCAGAGGTACTGATTGCATCAAAGTTTGTTTTGGTACTATGAAAACCAACTTTGCTTCTGACCTCTTAATCATTTTATGAGGACTTTTTCTTATCTTGTTGCATGAATACTCTGAACTTCATTTGTGCCCTTGCTCTCGTTTGTATTTCGTACTATATTAATCCGAAATTGTAAGAATAATCCTGAATTTTAACTTGGAAGAGAATTATGGATTTCAAGTGCTTTGACTCTCGTAAATAATTTTGACATGTATACATTCTAAATTTCTAATACTGGCATTTTTTTTGTCATTCCATCTCACCATGTAGAAATAGTTTCAGGTGAACCGTTTGATAATAAGTTTGGTCCCTGACAACTTTGGAACTTGGAAGCAACAAGAGAATTTAATAGAGAGGATCGGTTTACAGAAATTGTATTGATAGAAAATGGGCTTTAAATAGAAGTGGGCCTTCCCATGTGCTTCTAAACAAACCCTATACATGTCAAATATCTTTTTGATGCTGAATAAAGTCCCACATCGCTGCGTTATAATATTATCTTGTTGTATTTATAAGCCTGAGAACGCATCTATGGTCACGACCTTACTTGAACAGGATCTGTTCTATAGGCTCGTACCTCTGAATCCTTGATTTCTAAGGAGACAGGCCCCAAACCCTGGTTGATGATCCATGACCGTGCGATCTGAGCGTGATTAACGGCCACGATCATCTTCGGATGCATCCGGTGCTGTAGAGGATCGTTACTCGGTTTGGCCTAGTCCTAGCCGGGGTGGTCGCACGGCGGTCTGACAGGTTCCCTTTTTTCAAGTTTTGTTTTCGACAGATTGTGTGGAAACTAAACTTGTACGGTAAGTTTATTTCGAAGGCGTTTTTGAATTTTACATTTTTAGTAACTCCAGTTTTGTTCCTGAAATCTGAAAGATGAATTAGAAAATAAATATATTCTGTTTAAATTCATTAGGAAGAGACCATAAACAAAATGTATTGTTAGAGACTTCAAACAATACATGTATTTTCTAATGATAAAAATGCCAATGTAACAACAAATGTTGATCCTGATCAAAGACTTATACCAGTACTTTTGTATAGTATATGTATTTTCTAATTTTCTCGTAGATCTACAGTATTTCGTCTTCGATGTGTGGTTTCACAGAGCGATGTGATGAAGATTCCAAGTTGTATAAAAGTTCATTTATCGAACAATTATAGCTTTCTTGTCCTGCAAGGCTGGCATCATCATATGCTGATCACTTTGTGGCAGACTTTATGATCTAAACTTGCTTATCTACATATATATCAACAAATCACAAATACATAACTAACTAAATATTTTTCTGTACTTTTAATTTTGAATCATGAACAGCTAACTTATCCGTCTCGACCTGAAATCGCTAACCATTGTAATAGAGGAATTTAATCCTGAACTTTGCATTGACCAAATCATATTGGTCATGCCGTTTTCATGGTTAGTTAAACATAAGCCATACCCGTTTATTGATGAATGTTTACAATATAAAACAAATAGGATCATCTCTCGAGCATTAAGCTCCATTCCCTGCGTCTGATCCCAAGTTCCATAACGCTTAATTGATGCTCCAACTCCGCAAGCTTCTTCTTACACATCGAGAGAGGTGTGAAAGAGATTACGAAACTTCATATATTGGTTTGGTTGGGCTTAGGCATAGATGGGCTTTTAGCTGAATGCTTTTCTGCTAAGTAAAGCTAAATCTTTTAATCCCACATCGGAAGTAGTAGTAGAGTGAAGATTAGTAGAGTGAAGAGGTTTTCTTTGGATATAAAAAGAAGAGGCTCTCGTTGCAGTAAAATCATCTTTGCGCTTGGGGCAATGACGCAGCTAATGAGGTACTAACCGAGGCGCGTCTATTGCTGGTTGAAAACTATTTCCAAACCCCCTCGTTGACCTAAGCTTGTCTTAGGTGCTTCGAGAATTTCTGGAAGGGCTCCCTTCGGGGTAAAGCCCTACAATTCTTTAGTTTAATCTTTTGGTTTAGTTTATCCCATTGTATACTGTTTCAGTGATTGCTTCGTTATAGGTCCCTTGTTTAAGGACAAATTCATGTTGAACAGAACAAGAACACAATTTATGGACAACTTAGTCCCACATCGAAAACATTACAAAAGAGAAGGCCGTTATTACTGAGTCGTAAGCGATCAATAATAGAAGAAGTACTGTTGTACTTTGTGATATTTTCTTTGAAGGAAGACAAAAACTGAATCACGTACAATCTGATTTTCTTACAGCTGTAAAATCACTTGTTAAGCAGTTTAGATGCCACAACAAATCAATGATCTAAACCCAGCTACCTTGTAGAAAACTATAATCCTTTTTCTTTCTTCATTCTTATCAAATTATTATCCACACAACACACAAATCGTGTTTCACGTGGTTTCGAATTTGACCATCTCAATCCAAGTAATCCTTTCCGGTTCCTCAGCGACGCCGAGCCTCCGGTTCTCGGTCCGACGACGGTGGATCCATTTCGGAACGACACCCCTGGAGTTTGCGGATTGTACGAGGCGATTAAGATCGTGATTTGCCTCCCGATTGCTCTGGTTAGACTTGTTCTCTTCGGGCTTAGCTTAGCTATTGGTTACTTGGCTACGAAATTGGCGCTCGCTGGCTGGAAAGATAAACACAACCCTATGCCTCAATGGAGATGTCGAATCATGTGGATCACTCGGATCTGTACCAGATGTATCCTCTTCTCTTTCGGGTGAGTTTTTTGCTTCCTCTGATTATTGATTGAGTCATTATAGAGAGATCGAATTGAGGAATTAGTTTGTAAATTGCTTCTGCAGTTATCAGTGGATACGAAGGAAAGGGAAACCTGCTCGGAGGGAGATTGCTCCGATTGTTGTATCAAACCATGTATCATATATTGAACCAATCTTCTATTTCTATGAATTGTCACCAACCATTGTTGCATCGGAGTCGCATGATTCGCTTCCATACACATCAGAGAGAGAGAGAAAGTGAAAGAGACAGAATCGATGATGTTACAGACGTGGCATGGCTGCATTGGGATCAATTAGGAAAGAGAGAACGTATGATTAATTCAAACTCCCTTTCTAGTTTCTTCACAAAAAATAACAGTCCAAAAGAAAACAGAGTATTTATGAAACTACATCTATTGGTTGGGCTTAGGCATAGATGGGCTTTACTTGACTTCTTTTTGCTAGGTTTAAATCTTTTAATCCCACATGGGAAGTAGTAGTAGTAGACTAAAAGAGGTTTTGTTTGGATATAAAAAGAAGAGACTTTACAAAAGACTTTTTAGTAAAAAGACAAAAAGAGAGATGGTGAGGGAAAAAAAGAAAGAAGAGAAATATTAAATACCGCAAAAGAAAAGTTTGGGAAAACAAAGAACAGTAGTAACTAAATAATAAAATCTGAAACCAATAAGAAAAAGGAAATTACACATAATTAAAATTAGAATATTCAAATCTCTATAAATTGTTGACCAGTCCACCGCCTCAATAGATACTATAAATATACAACTTTCGATTCTCCCATTCACCACATTCTAATTTTTTTCTTTGGCAGCATATTACACATTATGGAAGCTATTCCAGTGTTTACGTACCAAATCGAAACCAATCCTAAACCTCAAGAAATCGGCACAATCGTAATCAACACAAATATAGTCGGTCCTGTCGACATGGACCTGATACTAACCCGGTCTAGGTTCTCATGTTCGTTACCTACCACAGAATTCATCGAAGACGAAGCATCTCCTAGAAAAAAAGAACTCTATGACTTCTTGATAGAATCAGGAGTAAATGAATTGGTTGCTATCACGCTAATGCTAAAATTCATTCAAACAGCCGTCAATATAACTTCCTCGGCTGAATATTGTCCATATTACGCTTTGTCAGTGTGGTTGACCCTTAATGTAGTTACTTCAAGTCAAGAATCACTCCTCGATGACTCTCAATTTGAAGAGGCGATTCGAGCCTCACTCGACGATTACGAGACGAATATCGGGTTTAGACCCGCAAGCAAGGAAGGAGTAGAGTCCTTGAGTAGGAGAATATACAAGAGTAAACCAAAGACTAGCTTAGTTGCTGACTGCAAGAGTAAAAGAAGGACCAGCTCAATTGCTAGCCATTGCACCATTTGTTTAGAGGAGTTTAAAAGCGGGATAATGGTGGCGACTTTCCCTTGTGGTCACGAGTTTGACAACAAGTGTATTGTGGAGTGGTGTAAGGTTAGCCATGTTTGTCCATTGTGCCGGTTCAAGTTACCATGTGAAGATGGTGATTTTTCTCAAACAACCACGGTATTCTAATCACTTTACTTAGATCAATCCACAAGTTTTGAAGTTTATCTAACTAGTACAGTAGTACTTGCATTCTGATGATTTGTGCTAGTGTTGTCGTTATTTTATTAACAGGAAAATAAAAGGGATATACTTTTGTCTATTGTTACCATACATAGGACTAGGATTATGTATTAGCAACAATGACCTTGGTGATGAATGTATATCACTTTTGCAAGTGAAAACTGTGATTCCGATTTTTTTTGGGTACTATTTTATTATCAAACATTTGGAAAATAATTCCGCTATATACATCTAGCATATCTTATTATATAAAATTGGATGGACACAATTTGAACGCGATATGTAAGATAAATTTGTATCCACCGGATTTTGACATATGTCATCACTAATTTAGATTGTGACACGTGTAAATTTGTATATTAAAAAGTCAAGTATGACATATAAGATCAATTTACAAATTTAATTATATATTTAAACAAAAAAATAATTAGATATGTATCATCAAATCACGAAGCTTTCGACTCTCATCTTATATTTTTATTCATATTCAAAAACAAAATTCTTTCCACTGTCTCTACGCATCAAGGAAGAAGCCATTCCAGAGATGGTCGACGAAATCGAACACAATCCTGAACCAGAAGAAACTGGCACAAGAAATATTAACTAACTTAACTATTGTCAGACCGGTCGACGTGGATCCGAGACTAACACGGTCTACATTTTTATGGTTGTTACTTGCCAAATAACTCATCGAAGACGCCAAATCTCACGCAAATAAGATCATATATGATGCTATCACGCTTACTAATACAACTTTCCTTTCAAGTTACTTCCTCGGTTAAGTATTGTCCACAGTACGCATTATTGATGTGGCTGACTCTTGATGTAGTTCCTTACTCCTTAGAGTCATGGATCAGTACTATTTGATGACTCTCCGTTTGAAGAGGCGATTCACTCCGCAAGCTCCTTCTTATACATCGAGAGAGTGTGAAACAGAGAAATATGTAACGGTTTTACGAAACTTCATCTATAGGTTTGGTTGGGCTTAGGCATAGATGGGCTTTTAGCTGAATGTTATTCTGCTAAGTAAAGCTAAATCTTGTAATCCCACATCGGAAGAAGTAGTAAAGTTGAGAAATATTATTTAGATATAAAAAGAAGAGGCTCTCGTTGCAGTAAAATCATCTTTGCGCTTGGGGCAATGACGCAGCTAATGAGGTACTAACCGAGGCGCGTCTATTGCTGGTTGAAAACTATTTCCAAACCCCCTTGTTGACCTAAGCTTGTCTTAGGTGCTTCAAGAATTGTAGGTCAAAAAGGGGGTTTGGAAATAGTTTTCAATTATCTATAAACCCAGCTTCCTTGTAGAAAACTAGAATTTTTTTTTTTTTTTTACCATCATTATCAAATTCTTATCTACACAACACACAAAAACTTATTAAAACAAATAAAATTAGAATAATTAATCTTAAGAGACAAACAATGCACTTTCCACAACCCTTTATGAAAACAAAATGTGTTGCGTTGTTATGAAGATAAAGTTTTTTTTTGTTGTTGTTATTAATTGGTTTGTTGACAAAACCTTTGTTGCTCGGATACTCTATATATATACTGTATAAATTAATTTATACGTTAAGAGCCTCAGCGTTTGAACATTGTCTCTCGTTACAATATTTTTGTTTGTTTTGGGGTTAAAACTCTCATTACAAACTTCTAGACTAGTCAAGTGAAAGCCTTAAGAGTTACCAGTGAATCTAGCTAAAAGTGTATAGTCAATTGTTCTACTTTGTCACTTATGTGTCTCTATCTAATTCACTTTTTATGTACTGACTACACAAGTTTACGTGCCCACTTCGAGCAGCAAAGTTATTGTCATCTTTGGCTTCTTACTAAGATATCTATGCTTAAGACAATATTTTATAATAGATCTTAACGTTGATTCTTGAATTGTTGGTCATAGAACAAGAGAAGTTTGAGGCTTACAGAAATGGTATCATTAGGTCTTCACACCGATCCAATTCGGTGTGAAGAAATTGTCTTCTTCTCAATTTTCCTTACAACGTGACCGCAAATATTGACAAATAAGTTAGGTATGGGCTTTATCTATACTTGGGTCTTCACCCATATATCCCTAAATTCAAACCATAACTAAACATAAGGTATGATTTAGATTCTGAATAAACATCCCACATCGTTCTGGTGGAGCAAAACCTTTCAATATATATAAGCCTGAGAACGCATCTATTGTCACGACCTTACTTGAACAGGATCAGTTCTATAGGCTCGTACCTCTGAATCCTTGATTTCTAAGGAGACAGGCCCCAAACCATGGTTGATGAACCATGACCGTGCGATCGGAGCGTGATTAACGGCCACGATCATCACCCGATGCATCCGGTGCTGTAGAGGATCGTTACTCGGCTCGGCCTAGTCCTAGCCGGGGTGGTCGCACGGCGGTCTGACAGGTTCCTTTTTTTCACTTTTGTAACCATTTTCTTCAGCATTTTAGTTTCGGATGGAGAAAAAATATAGTAGGTGTGGACTAAGCAGAATATATGCGTCAAGATGCAATCAAGGACTAATAGAACCTACATTTTTGTAACCTTTAGAAAAAGAAAAAAGAGGAAAGAAAACCAATGCAAAAGTCATATGAAAGAAGCTAGGTTTGATAGAGTAGCGGTTTAGTTATCAATCAAATCTAATAAAGAAAGACTACAGAACCATCAAAACGAAAACGATACAACATAGTTACTTTGTCTCACACATACAAAGATCTTTCTTCTCACTCGTATAAAAACTATGTCAGCTAATATATAAGATTACAAACAAGCTACAAAACTTCCAAGATTTTGGTTGTGTCACATAATCAGCTAACGACCAACTTGATAGCTTGAGAACGGTACTGAAACATTACTTGAGCTAGCTAAGAGAGGACAAGGTGAGATGTTATACATAGGAACAGGCATCTCCTGCGGAAGATGATGCAATGGCGCACCTCACCATTATAAAGTCTCCAAAATTAACTCCTAATTCTACGTTTTGGCCAATTTGGTAACTTGATTAAAAATGAGATAAGAGTTAGTAATATGGTCGAATAAAAGCGCAATATGTGTTACTATATTAAAAGAGAATACTACGAAAGTTTGGTTACCGAATCCTGATTGATGCTCTAACTCCACAAAGCTTTTTCTCTCCCACACATGAGAGAGAGAGAGAGAGAATCGATGATGTTACAGACGTGGCATGGCTGCACCGGGATCAATGAGGAAAGACAGAACGTATGATTTCAAACTCCCTTTCTTTACAAAAAAAAAAAAAGCCAGTCCAAAAGAAAACAGAACTTATAAAACTACATCTATTGGTTGGGCTTAGGTATAGATGGGCTTTACTTGAATGCTTTTTGCTAGTTTAAGCTAAATCTTTTAATCCCATATCGGAAGTAGTAGTAGAGTGACAAGGTTTTGTTTTGATATAAAAACAAGAGGTTTTCAATCACTATAACTCATCTTTGCGCTTGGGGCAATGACGCATCTAATGAGGTAGTAACCGAGGCGCGTCTATTGCTGGTTGAAAACTATTTCCAAACCCCTCGTTGACTTAAGCTTGTCTTAGTTGCTTTGAGAATTTTTGGAAGGACTCCTTTCGAAGTAAAACCCTACAATTCTTTAGTTCAATCTTTTGTCTTATAAGTTGTGGTGTAGTACCTTATGTCAACAATTTCTAGTTCAATATTTTTTTTTTCTTGTTTTAGGACTTAGGACATTGTGGTTTTCGTCTAAAATTTAATAGAACGTGTTGAGACTACTTCGACTGCAATTTTACCTAACAATGACACTACAAGAAAATCGAATATTCATAGCAGTAGAAGATAGCGTTTTAGGTTGTTTTGCTATGGTTGACTTATGGGTGACTTTTTTATAGCGTTTTCGAAATGAGAAGCGCTATAATATATTGATTGGTTTTTAAAAAAAATTGTTTAGTGTTTATCTTTGGTACTACCCAATATAAACGCTATCATAGAGACGGAGAGACCTAAATAAAAAGTTACACAAAAAAATTATACCAAATAAAAAATTGAAAGTATTTGTAAAACTAAATTACTTAGCTTAATCATCTTCCTTCCGTCGTTTGTCCTTACCTTCGTCTTTTTTTCTAGGTTTTACAGGTGAGCATAGATCTGGGTTGAGAGCGGCTCGGATGAGATGCTGGCGGTAGTGCGGAATTGCGACGGTTCGACACGGGCGTCAGATCTTACCACTGGCGATGCGACTGAGCAGGACGTATTCGACACGAGCAACGCCGGCGAGTGAGTCCTGCTCGAGCGCCAATCCTCGACACAGTTGAGTGTGACGACGAGAGGCGATGCCCGTGACGGCGATGTGGCATTTTCGCTGATGAACGGATCTTGCTCATCTGCTTCTTCTCCTTCTCGCTTCTCTCGAGGAGTAGACGGTATTCTAACATTTTGTCTTTCGCCTTCATGTTCGTCTCTCCAGCTTCTTACCAATTTTGCACAATGATTTCCGACTAATCTGGAATTGAATCTCGCAGCAGCTTCCCCTCGCTCTATCACTCTCTTGTTCTCTGTCAAATTATATTTCTCTCTTATTTTAAACTCCCTCTTACTCTTTGGTTCTGGGTTAGTTTCGTCTAGAATCGAGAACCTGTTATATAAATCTAAAGAGTGAAAATTATGCTTCTGTGTTTTGGCTGATGATGGGACTAACTCTTGTGTTTTAGGTGGTGTGGTTTGTTCGATTCTGGAATCTGCAAACATCTAAATGTCATGTGGAAGAGTTGGATCTGAAAAAATCTTATGATGCTGAAGAAGCTTTTCCTTATTTCTTTGGAAGATCTTGAACTAGATTACAGGTTAGTTGGCCGAGCTGCATTTCTGCAATTTACATCTTGTTCTTTGTAGGCTTTTTAGAGGTAAAGACTGCAAGTTAAAATCGTTCTTATTAGGACCTGCGATATAGAAAGCGAGAGAGACAAAGAGAAGCTATGGGTGTTTTGTTAAGAGAGTTGTTGTCTATATTCGTTAATAATGAATGGTCTGCTGATGTTCATCTCTTTGTTAGAGTTACAAGTGCTTCTCCTATTCTCTTGGTTATTAGGTTCGAAACCTTTTTGTGCTCTTAAATATTCTAAGTTTGGATTCTTGAGTAATACATAGTTTAGTCAATAAATAAGTTTAGTTTTCTCCTAGCAGATCTGATTAATTCAAGGTTTTTTTTTCAGGTGAAAGGGAGGTGACAACTGCCTACGAGTACATATGTGGCGTTTAAGCTGCCAAGACAAATTTTTTTGGTGTAGCCGTGTAGGCGGAAGAGACTTGGTGATGGAGGTGGCTGAGAAACCTTGAGGCGCGGTGGAGATCTGCTGAGATTGTTCAGAGAGTTTAGACTAGAGTTGATTAGAAACTAGAAGATATGAAACAATAAGTTCTTGTAAACTTCTATTATTATTATAATATATTAATTTTATTTTGTAAATTAAAATATGAGTTTTTAGAATTCGAAATCTAAAATATAAAATCTAAAATTCAAAATGGAAACCCAAATTATTATAAATACTAATATGTATTGATAACAATATTCAATTGCTATTGAATAATATACAATAACACGCAAAAAGGCGCTATAATAAATGATAAAATAATAGCAAGACAAAAAACCGCTATCTAAAGTGTCTGATCTACAATGACGGGCGATGATAAAGCGCTTGTCAAAACGCTATCATATGGTTAGATAGCGTTTTTCGGATGTTAAAAATACCATTTTTTCCTGTAGTGTAAGATTACCCATGTCTGCTTATAATACTGAACGGGAAGCTTTACTAGTTTATGGGTTGTTGTTGTCTTCTGTAGAGGATCACTTATCTCAGAGTGTTATGCATATATCTACCATCATGAAGTGCGTCTATTTAGTTTTGCTAATACATATGATTCATTGACAAAGAAGCTTCTAAGTAAGTTCCATAGTAACTTTTAAAATCTTGCAGTATCTATTAACTTTCACCCCTATTAACTTGCACCAGCTCTCATCGACATAAATTGGTTGCACCCCCAAAGCCTCGATGGAAATGGGTAATATTATACATTGCTACTAACACCATTTTTTTCTTTTGCTACTAACACCTTTGGTTATTCCACTGAATTGGTAATGGACGCCAATAAAACCCACACTCAAAAATTATCTTCAGTTTGGAAAAAAATGATTTGTAATAGTTTAAGCTCCTCGGGATATTTTATCAAGATTGTAAGAGTAGTTAAGTCTCGTAACACCACTAGTCTCGTACATGTAGGATTCTTGTAAATAATTCACTTTTTCATTTAAATACAAAACTTTTGAAAGTATGGGAGGAAAATCAACAAAAAGTTACTTTTAAAAACCCAACAAAACGAAAAGCATATTCTCTTTTTCCCACTTCATTGTTTGATTATTTAAACCGTAGTACACAATAGTTAGGTTCAAAGCAAGAACATCATAATGATGAACAATTTTCATAAAGTAGTTCAAAAGAGATGAAGACCATTATAATCGCACTTCGCACACTACCTTAGTCCATGCTGGTAGTTTTTTTTTCCTGACTTTCCTATAAGGTAGTTTTTTATATATGAATCAAAAAGCATAATCAATGTAATCCACAAATCAATTAATAAAAACTATTATCTTGCATTATTTTCACATCTCCCTTTTTCAACTTCTGAGAGCTAGAGGTCCCCACGCTTTTATATCACACAAATATGCGTTGGGAAATTGACAATTTACATATAGTAGAAGAGGCTTGAATTTTCTATTAAAAAAACTATTTCATAAAAGGTACTTCTTAGTTATTATACAATCCTATAATAGAGTATGGATCCTCCAAGATCCAATATTTTCTGAATTACGACTCTTCTCTTCTAGTTAGTTCTCCTGCTAATTACAATGGTCTATCTAATAGAGTAATAAAAAGCTTCATTATTATATCCAATATGTAAAGAAATTTGGATGCATACACGAGTTGCTCTATCTTTTCCTTAGCGTAAAAGGAACGGCTACATAAAGACACAAAAAGCCCCCATGAAATGATTGAGATGCTTCCACGGTTTTTTCCATTCTTTTTATCTCCATTTTCTTCTTAATAGATATTTCTCCTTCTGAAAAAAGCCAATAATAGATTCCTCATGTCTTCCATGACATTAACACATTGTAGACCATTTGTATAGTCTGATTATCCGATCGTATTCTAATTTTTCTTTTACAATTCACACATCACATTCTGCTAAAATTAAACTCGATTTATGATACAGTAGGAAGGATACCAGTGAAATCCACTAGAATTTTGATGGATTTCCAATCATACTCATAAAAGCCTAAAATAAGAATATTTATAATACTCTAGGAAAAGTAAACTAGGAAATAAATAAAAAGAGACCATACTCGATGCATTTCTCTAGTATGGTGCTCTAATTCATTCATATAATAAAATAACTAGGCAGTATCTTATTAAAATATATAATGTGAAAAAGGCTGCTTTTGTGGAAGGGAAAAATCTAAGCTTTTCACAGGATGAAGCCTTTTAAAGCAAATTGGAGGCGTTGATTCTTGTACATGTTTATTTATTTTATAGTATGTTTTTAAGTGAGAAAATAATACGTGGCCTGTCTCATGGAAATACTATACAACACGAGGAAGAGACCGTATAGCGGTATAGGTTCCGACAAAAGGATCTTTGGATCCTTGGTCATTCACATACACCGCAAGACTTGTACTCTTCTTGTGTATATTCTTATGAATAAGAATATGGGATAATGACTCACACAACCTTAGAAAGTGTCCTAATGACTCACATAGTTTTTTGGAAAGTTCTGTCTTGTTAAAGAGGTACAAAAGACATAATACCCTTGCTCACACTTTTTAATAACGACTTTGCCATTAAGAAAAAAAAAGGTAACCTAGTAAGTTGTAAAAGAAAAATATTTACCATGTTTATGTCGAGAAAGGTCGATAACCGGCGGCGAAAAATTCGGAGACTCAACTTGCTCAGATTACGGTGACGACTGAGAAGAAAGGTTTACGGAGGCAACGAAGAGATAATGTAGGTCTTTAACATTTAATTTTGATTAATACGATGAGTTCTATGTTGGTGAATTTTTGTTAAAATATTGTTGGTGAATTTTGCAGGTTCTGCAGGTGGAATGGTTAGCTGAGTGTCGGAGCAAAATACAATCTTAGGTGGTGTAGTTTCGGGTAAGCGAAATTGTAGATGAATTTTCTTTATTAGAGGTATCGGAGTCGGACAAGTATCATACTTGAACCACTGAGTTCTTGACAGGTCTCTCGGAAGCGAAGCGTAGGAGGTCGAATTCGTAACGGCGGGAGGGAGGGACATCTGCGTGAGCGGAAAGGAAAGGTAATGTAAAAGTAAAAGATTTTTGAATATTGGGCGAGCAATTATGATAGATTTTTGTGTTCTAATTGAAGAAGGAAGGGCGGTAGATTTATTAGTATGTATAGATCTATCTCTTAGTATTAACAGATACTTGACCTTGCGGTAGATATATGAGTTCCGGTTAGTTTTAAATGGACATCTTATTGTAAACTTTTTTCGCAGAGATGGGTTCTTCTACATTGGGGAGGGAAATATCGGGGAGATTGTTCCCAGCCGGAAAATCTCCTTTGCAAGATCGAAGCTTGCATCACAACTGCAAGTTGACCGAGTTTGGGCAACTGAAGCACTCTGTAGGAGAAGAAGTTTTCAATGACGTTATGAGTACATCTCAAGTGGGAATTATTCTGAAGCTTGCCTCAAGGAGTTACATGTGGTGTGCGAAGACATGTCATAACCTCCTAACACATCAATTGGCTATTGAGTCGAGTATGAGATATGGTCACTATTTGGAGGTCGGCCAATTAGGTTTTCTCTCCACGAGTTTGGGGAAATCACACAGCTAAACTGTAAAGAGTTTGACCGTAATGATGATTTGCAAGTAGAACACACTTGGTTTTGGGACCTGGTCGGCATTAAAGATGGGAAGGACCTTCTTGGCATGAGTTGAACGGAGCGCTTGGCAGATGCAGCACTTGGACGTACGAGCAGAAGAGAATGCTTGCGCTGCTGTTTGTTGTGCACATTGGAATATATGGCATTTCTCGGTCTAGTAGGATTTCTTTTAAGCATGCTAAAAGGGTTCTTGTTCCGGAGTCATTTGAGAGTTATCCTTGGGGCAGAGTGGGATTTAAGGAGTTGATGGAGTCCATAAAAGTAGCTAAACTTGATGGGAAGACGTACGTCGTACACGGATGTGTACATGCGCTGTTGATATGGGCATACGAGGCTATTCCAATAATAGGTGAGAAATTTGGTAAGAGACGAGGAAACATTGAAATCCCATTACTTCGGTGGGAATCATGTCGCAACAGATACAATCTGGAAGCATTAGTGGAAGAAGAGAAGAAAAAAACCGGTCTGGATAAGGTATTAGTCGTTTGCCAGTCGTGTTGTTTCTTATGATTCGTAAACGACACGATTGTTATGATGATCAATATAGAAGAATGTATTTGTTTACTAAGATTATTTTGTAATGCCCTTGCAGGTTCGAGTTAGGCAGTTAGTGTTGAAACCTCTGGAAGAGATATATCCCGTTTGGGCAGGCGAAGAGGCAGGAGGTGATATCAAGCTTGATAACATGATTCGTGATATTGTTGGAGGGTGTCTGGATGAAAGTTGCTGGGAAACAGAAGAGCAACTGTTGAACAAAAAGAAGAGGAAGAAAAAGTTAGAAGTGGTGGTAGATAGTGATGATGATTTGGTAGAGAAACCTTTGCGAAAGATTTCAAGTACGAAGAAGGAAGAGCAGAAGACGAAAAAGATGGAGCCGAGAGACTATAGTGATTCTGAATCTCAGAAAAAAACGGAAGATGGGTTAGGTTGGGATGGAAGAGATATAAGAAAACCATCCGAAGGCCTTGCTGATGAAGCACTAGCGAATGTGCTTAACACTATTCTTGAGAAACTTGCTGAGCTGGGAAGGAAGTTTGAACTATTGGAAGCGAACAAAACTACTGTGGAGGAGGGGTCGACGAAAAAAAGGAATGAAGTAGGCGATGAAGTAGACGAGGAGAAGGTGTGTGATGCAGAGTCTGACACTGTTGGGGAGAAGGACAATAAGAAGGGTTGTGAAGCGTGTACGGAACCGGTTAGTTGTTTTTGTTTGAATGCAGTGGTTTTGTTATTCATATTTGAAATACCATTGAATCATGTTTACAATACCATTGCAGTCGTGGTTGCAACAGAGGTTGAAACATCGCAGGAAGGGATTACTATAACCAGAACCATAAGGAACCCGGCATACGATTATAAGAAACCCACGCGAAGGAAGCTGGAACTGAACGATCCCATTGAAAAGTTAGGAGGTGATCGCCCGGCGGGGAAGACGCCGTTTATAATTCCACAACTAAGTGATGGAGAAGACGATGAATTTCTGATGAAAGCATTTGCGGCCAACGCACAACAGCTGGGAAGGCAGGGAAAACAGGACAAAGCAAAGGTGAGGCCTACGCCTTCGCCAGACATCCTTTTGTCACCGAAACAATCTCGTCCTAGATCTGCCGTGAAGGAGGAAGCGGTGAGGCCTACGCCTTCGCCAGACATCCTTTTGTCACCGAAACAATCTCGTCCTAGATCTGCCGTGAAGGCCGGAATCAATCCTCAGGCGACGTATGATCCTTTAGAGAAGGTCGATAGAAAGAAGAAAGTTGCGCTCCTCGAATATGTGAAGACATATTTGTAAGTCACCACTATATAGAAGCCCGGTAGATTAGAGTGGATACATATATATCATTGCACACATGATGTTGATGGGATAATCTTTGTTGCAGGGATAACCCTATCGAAAGTAGCAGGCCTGTGGCAGATTTCTACCTAACCTTAATGACACCCAAACAACAGTGGGCTGTAGATGAATACGGGTGGCTTTCCGATTTGGTAAATGCGTGAAATTTAGTAATTTTTATGTATGTATGAGATATGTGATGATATGTACTGTATGAAATATGTGAATAAATTCAATGTTTTCCTGTTACAGCATATGGTCGCGGGTATGAACATGTTCCGCCAAAGGTCATTGCGTAGGCCGTGTCCATATAGAAACGAGAGGATTACTTTCCTCGACCCTCAGTTCACCAGTTTGTTGTGTATAGAGTACAAAATAAGTATCTCGGCCACGAGAAGACGTTTGAATTCTCTATTGGGCACGAGAACCATTACAACGGTATTGCCCCAGACTGTGCCGTAACCAACAAGAAATGGGTTAAAGATGTTGACACTTTGTACATCGCCCATAATATTCTCAATACTCATTGGGTGGCAGTTGAGGTTGATTTGCTAATTAAGAGGGTAAAAGTTTATGATTCCATCTACTCGGCATTTGATGTGGATGTCGTAAAAGAGTCTGTGAAGCCGTATATGAAGCTGGTTCCGCTGCTTTTGAGACACGTCGCACCAAAAGAGGAGAAGCAACAAATGGGCGGGATTGCCTACAACTTCTACCTGGTAAAGGGTCTTCCGCAGAATGATCAAACCGGGGACTGCGGTGTATACACCCTGAAGGCCATCGAGTGTTTAGCTCTTGGACGGACTCTGACCGGCATCGACGACACGAATGTGGGTGACATCCGTATCAAGTACGCTGCTGAGATGATGGCTGAGGTGGACTTGTCTGACTTCCTGCTACCGATAATCCCAGAGACAAGCCCGTACCCAAAGACAAGCCCGTGCCCGCGTGGTACATCTGATGACGCTTCGCAGGGGCTGGAGACGGATTCGTTGGATTCGTTGTAGTAGTGAAACCATCGTTTAGGAAGAATGTAATGGTTTAGGAGTTTAGGAGTCATTGTGTTAAGTAATTTGGTGTAGTGTTGATGGTATGTTTGTGTGGTATTGAGTTTAGGCGCCGTCATATAGGTAGACGGTTGTAATGGTAACTACATTTTCGGAGTGAACCAAGTGACTGCATGACTTGTATGGGTTCGCTAAATTTTTGGTTGAGAGGAAGGAAATTTGTTGCTCTCAACGTGTTTTTGCGGAGTGAGACCATAAGCCACGCTGTCAGATGAGTCGTGAAATTGCAGACCGGGATTGCCACTTAACTGTCTTTGATTGCATCTGTAAACCGGCCACGAAATTACAGTAGAAAAAAAGATAATTTTAAACACATTTTTAAAACATGATGTTTAATTTGAAAATAAACCTAACAAGTACCATAAACACATGTTTAACATATATTCAGACATTAATAATGATAATATGATGCAATTTACAGTTTTACGGAAAAATCAATGTTTAGTCATCAAGTAACCATGAACTAACCCTTATAACATAAGGGAAACATATGTATTGTTATGGTGATTTGACGAGAATACAACAAAATGTAGGTTTCTTAACATCTAACCGTACTAGAACGTTTATATGGGTACTATAAGGCCTAAATACATTTGTTCCACTGGAAATTAAAGTTTAATTACACAGTTCAACTAGAAATATACGAAAACGGTTAATGTTCAACTACTGTCCATTTTGGTTCAACCTTCACCTTGAGTACAACTACGCTCATGTTTGACGAAATTTCACCACGCCGCCGGCGGGAAAATTTGGAGGGAGTTTTAATATTTAATTAATTGGTTTAGTTCGTTTTCATTTAAATGGTATTTCTTTTACACCGGGCCTAGGGATTCGGGAAGAGCAGAGAGAAGAGATGATGGACAAATGGGAAAATCTGGACTCTCCACGTGTCCTCTTTAATTCGGTACAACTGATTCGTAATGGTTCAACTTCTATTTGTTGTTGTTTTTAAAATGGGATCATATAGATCAGTTTAAGACATGATGTATAACGTTGAAATAAACCTAACAATTACCAAAAACACATGTTTAACATATAGTCCCGTGATTTATAATGATAATATGATGCAATTTACAGTTTTACGTAAAAATCAATGTTTAGACATGAAGTAACCATGACAATACAAGGAAAACATATGTATTGTTATGGTAATTTGACGAGAATACACCAAAATGTAGGTTTCTTAACATCTAACCGTACTAGAACGTTTATATGGGTACTATAAGGCCTAAATACATTTGTTCCACTGGAAATTAAAGTTTAATTACACAGTTCAACTAGAAATATACGAAAACGGTTAATGTTCAACTACTGTCCATTTTGGTTCAACCTTCACCTTGAGTACAACTACGCTCATGTTTGACGAAATTTCACCACGCCGCCGGCGGGAAAATTTGGAGGGAGTTTTAATTTTTAATTAATTAGTTTAGTTTTTTTTCATTTAAATGGTATTTCCTTTACACCGGGCCTTGGGATTCGGGAAGAGCAGAGAGAAGAGAGAGTTTGAGCTTTCGGGTTTCGATTTCTAGAGAGAGCACATATATAGAGAGAGACTCTTCTTCGACCTTATTCCATTTCCAGTCGAAGCAGGTGCCGATTCCAGTCTTCCAGGTGCAAAATAAGGTTCGATATCCTCGATTCACTAGATTCTTGCGTAGAATTAGTACGGTCTTGAGAACAATTACTAAATTAAGTTTCACTGTTAGGTCATTTAATATTTCAACTTATTTTCGTATCTATCTGAATCACTGTTTCTTCTTACAAGGGAATGGGTCCTCACAGTTGGGTAGAGACGTCTTCATCCTCCGTGCCGTCCCCGGCGTCTTTAGATCCAGGTCTCCTCGGAGAGTATGAAGACGGCATTCCTCATCTGTGTTACTGCGGTGGATCGGTTTTTGTTGAGACGACCGCCAACGGAGACAGTAAAGGAATGAGATTTGTCACTTGCCGCCGCCGTGATGTGAGTTTTTGACAATTCTATCATGTTGATGTTGATATTTTAGCAAAAAATGAGAACTTGATGTTGTTACCATATCGTGTTGTAGGAAGCTGGGCATCATATTCGCAAGTTGTGGGATAATTGTGTCGAAGAGGAAATTGAAATGTTGCGCTCTGACATTACAAGTCTGAAGGAGGATTCCCGCACATGTGCCCACGCGGACGAAGCACTTAAAGAGATAAGTATCCTGTGGACCGACTTACTTTTGGCGGAAAAAAAAACCCGTGATCTGAAGGAAGATCTGGAGATGGATATTGTGAAGATAAAAGAGGATTTTCTGCAGACGGAGGTGTTGGTTCGTGATCTGCTCAAGGAGCACAAGACTGGAGATTACATTTGTGCTTGCTACATTTACTCTATTCCTTGGTCTTTTCATAATTTGGTTCAAGTAACTGCTCAGAATCAAGTGGCAGACGTCAGTCTCTATGTTCACCAAAG